AATGTAATGAATCGCTTAAAATACTTAGTGATGTAATCTATATTACACTCTCAGTTTCACGAATGCGTCTAGATATACCATTTCATCACTATACCAAGATATCTATATTACATCAACCCATGAAACGTTTGATTCTCTATCAGAAGTCAATTATTGTCTCTCGGTAAACGATGTGCAGTATCTAAAAAATTTTAAAACTGCCGGAAAACTCACAAAACATGTCATCTCAAGCTAACAACTCTTTATAGCTCTTATGCACTCATTTATCGAGACAGAATATGGTAGTCGATGGATAATAGATCTGATTTTGCATTAGTAGAGGTGAGGCTCATATCTCGACAAACTAATTGGTAGGAGTTATAAAGGGTTTTCGCAGATACTTGACAGAGTTTTGTAGAATTATTATCAGTTTTAACAAATTTTTGGTATTGTAGGTCTTTTGGCAAGACAGAATGATGCGGTTGCTATATATAGGCTCAGTTATGCTGCAAATAAGATTATCAATTGTTTCTGGTGACATTTGCTCTGTTAGAGGAATTTGTCGTCAAATGGAGTCTCTATAACAAATATATATGCTGTTTTTAAATTTAGCAGTATCTGTGAGAGGTCCTGACAAACACTTGAGATGAGAAAATAAAAACCCTCTTGTATTGCTTTGCTTGGCTATGTGTAACCTCTATGAAGCTTGTTTATTGGCAGGCACAAAGCGTCCAATCAACTCGCAATCATACTCGGCGTGAAGAATTGTGTTATGGTTGCTTAACATCAATTATATCATACTTTAGTCATACATTACGATGTTGAATGTATTTTTTTTTACAAATTATGAATATCTTAGATTAAAGTATGTTCCGAAGAAGAAAATCTTCAAACGAGGAACAGTGGTATCGAGCTCAAGAATGTGTACCGAACGCGATTTTACGCTGTGGACATGGCATGGACCCTATTTGTGAATGTGTAAAACGCTACGGTATAGTCAAAGAATATCCATTAACTAAACGAGAAAGAATAATTGAAGCAGCATCATTGGAACTTAATAGAATGAAACGATTACATATAGAGGATGATCAAAAACTCGATCTGCTTAGTCAAATAATACAGTGTGAAGAAGGTAAGGAAGTCATCTATAACGAAAAATATGAAACAATTTATGGTCCTCTTTTGCTGATAAACACAATCACAGACAATACAAAAAATTCATCAATTTATCAAATTGTATTTATTATGTTAATCATACTTATAATGGGTCTTTTATTATATTTCTCTCAAGGATAAACTCGAACGAATGACATTTGTCTAACACTTATGTGTAGGCGTAGTCTTTTTTGTATTTTTTGATTATCATACAACAAATCAACAATTGTCGATCTATTTAATACAAAGAACATAAATTAAAAATCCACATTATGTATTTGAAAATAAATGATTTACGAATATTTGAGTTTTCTAAACACAAAAAGAGTTTAATCTCGTCGAACATTCAAAATTGAGTTGTTTTTCAAACACAGTTTTGATTATGCATTAGTGCCTTGTCGAAATACTTTATCACAATTCCTATTTCCATTTCCCAAATCATTTTTTAATTCTTATTTTTGTTTCATTTTTGACATGCGAAGTAACGTTATTGTTACCATGTACTATTTTCTTGTGGCAATAAGTTCTATGCAATATGACACTTTTGACTAGTTATATAAAAATAAAAGAGCTATTACATGAATATATTCGAATATATATAAAAATAAGACAATAACTCTTTTGAAATGTTCATTGAGTATTGAATAAAACATAATTCGTAATTTTCTGCACGAAAAAAAAGTATTTCTTTCGATATTTGAAATCTGTTTTTTCAATAGTAGTTATTCTTTGTCAAACACAAAAATTGAGTGGATTTTCGATGATTAGTTTAGATGAATTATACTAAAGTGATGTGAAAAAAATGTTCGTATCAACTGTTATTATTGATCATTAGAAACATTTTAAGAGTTAAATGATTTGTACGGTAATTGACTAAGGTTTTTTTTGTTTCTCTGTCTGTTAACTAATACTTGTGGTTATATTGGTTAAGTATTTCTGAAATACAACCTGAAAACAGAAATTTCATTTACAAATATATTGAAGAGCGTGAACGAATGAAATATATTTATTTTGGAAGATTAATTCAACAAATAATTTGCAAGAAATTATAGATTCGTCCTAAAATATTATATGTTTAGAAAGGATCACACCATGAGCATTGATAAATAAATGAAGTAAATCCATATCATACGGAAAGAATATACAGAAACTAATTATATAATTAAGTTTATACGAAAGCTAACATGAATATAATAATTATTAAATATTAGTTTGTTTTAATGAAATGTATGTCCTATATTCAAAATTATCGGTGAAATGCAGAGTTAGTATTAATTGCTCAAAAAGAAATATATCAAATGGTAAAATCTCGAAAACGAAAATCCAGAAAACAAGAATCTCGAATCTGCAAAATTGCGAAACGTGAAAATCTCGAAAGTATAATATATAAAAGTAATTTGAATGGTTAATAAATACATGACTTATTAATCATATTTTTGTTGAAGAATGATAAGAAATTAGAAACTAAGAATACATATACACAATATCGACTTTAATGTGATGTTTTACGACTTTAACTTCAGAGAAAAATTGACATAAAAGAAAAATGAAAAGAATTAAGATCCTAAGAAAAAAAATATTACTATTGATTTGACAATCACTTTTTGCCTTCATATCGTTTGCAACAGGTAGCAGAGGTCTAAACAGATCGTTGAGCCTGCCTGGGATAAGCACAGGCTATGATTTACGAGTCTGTCTCAGGTCAGGCAGGTCGCTTAGGATAGACAGGCCGCCTGTCTGTCACAGTTTTCATAGTTTTCAATCAAAACAAAATCATTTTTTAGCAGTAAAAATACTTCAAAAATTACAATAGAGTACCTAGCATGGTGTAGCATGAAAAATGAGCATTTATCATTATCTGTTTTCAAGAAATGCTGCTATTTCCATTAAAATATCATATAAACCATAGCATATAAAAATATATGGGTCATAGCAGGCAGGTACAGGCAGGCCAGACCGAGATAAGCGCATCATAGGCGTAGTTTGCCATGGGCAGGCCAGGTATAAGAAGAATAGATCTGTTTGGACCTTTGGTAAGTAATGATAAATTTTGAAGATATCCGTTCAAACCAATATCCATATTTTGAAATATTGACGATAAGAACGTGGATATGAATGTCGAGTGTGAGTCAACTAGTGGCTTACATTCAATCTCAGTCATATTCCATAAGCATAGAAGACTGAATAAACGAAACAGAAAAAAAGATATAAAAGAATGACTGATCAGTCTAAAACGCTCGTTTGGACCATTCTAATGAAAGAAGATGACTTTCAGTAGTAATTTTGTATTAGTGGCTATTTTACGAACTTTTAAGGTTTTCGATGTTTCATATTTCACCTTGTGACATGTTATGTTTCGATATTCTACTATTCGTTATGTTACTCTCCAATCTTATTCCTTTTTGAGTAATTCATACGCCTCCAAAAATTCAAATGTTGTTGACGAATTTTCTTATTGCTTATTCACATTAAAGATCAACTAATATATATTTATTTCAATATCTAAAAGTCAAACAACTTCTTATGTAAGTCGATGTATCCTAATTCGGTATGATTAAGCCATAAAAGAGAATACACGCACTTGCATTCTTATTTCAGAAAAAAAGCGTACATTTGATTAATGACGTATAGGATTATTATCTTATATTTTGTGACATCAAATGTATTGAAAAACACGATTCATATTTAAATGTGTATTTTCATAATTACAATAATAGTATCAATAATAATATCGAATAAACATTTTACGAGTTACATTTAATGGTTCACAAGAATTTAAAGATGTATGACACTTATCGAAGCATTTTAATAACTTTTTCATGGAATATAGACAATTAGTTGATATATGTATAGATTACATTTATGATACAAATATGCATTAATATTTCTGCTCATACATTTAAACTGTTGTCGCCTCTTCACCATTATATATTAGAGATCTGGAAAGCAGTCGAAAAAATTGTTTCGCTACCGTTTTGTCCATTGTTTTCTTAAGATATTCACTTCAGTAATGACCAAACATTAAATGCTTGTTAGCAAAACTTCATTGAAGTTAGAATATGGAATTCACATGTGTTCGTTAGTCTCATCATATTAATACAAAATACGCAAAGCAAAAAATCTCTTGTAGACTATAGTCGTTTTACGAGATAATTAGCCATCAAAGAAACGATCTTTCTTATTTTTTTCTGCGTTTCGAAGAGAATTTTTTATTGGCATTCTAGTTTTTGTTTATCATGTTGCTATTCGCGTGTTATCTAGTTTTTTCTATTGCGTTCTGTTTAATTTAACATTGTTATTATTCTAAGATTTGAGTCAGTGGGCAAATAAACCTATTGGACATATTCATCATATCTACAGCAGTAGGTCTTCACGAAATACTATATATTTCGATATGATCCGAAACAATAATATTGATTATTTCCTGAAGTTATAAATAGATTAGTTGATGCTTTTTAAATTGATCATATCAGCACGCTAGCAAGTCAATATATGGAAGATGGTTTTAGAATAGTCTGCAACAGTCTAACGTAAGTGTTGTTGTTAATGCTATTCATAATGCAATCTGGAAAATGAGTCTGACACATGTTGTCCTCAGCGTTAAGGTATGTCACAAGGAGGAAGAAGCCTACAAGACTTCGACTTAACATTTCACTCCCTATTTTCTTCCAAAAAATATGTGAGTTCCACAAAACGGATGATTCTTTTTATGCAAATTTTTGATCGCATGTAACAAGTACTACTTTTTTTATTTTATATCATATGATTTAGTCTAGGGTGTCTACTATAAAAAGGAAAAAGATATTTCTTAAATAAATATATTATAATTGAATTTCTTTTTTTTTTTTTATAGACGCTCAATTAGTTTATTTCATTGTTAAATCTTCAATATCAACTTCTTGTATTTCATCATCGGATGATTTCGTTGTTGTCTTCCATGCTCCTTGTTTTACATAGATTGTTTCGAATTTTGCTAAAGCTTTTGATTGATATTGACGAAATGCTTTAATTGGTCCATCAGCTGATACAATTTTACCTAATGGTTTAGCACCCATTTGAGTAATATTACGATGAATTCCATTAAGTAAAAGTAAATCTTGATCGATAATTCTCTTGTTCATTTTTTCGGCCACATAATCAAAACCAGGTATATATTCAATCCATTTATAACAAGCAAAATTACGATAGAACTGTAATAAGAGACGCATTTTATTTTCAGCACTTGGTATTATATAAAATATTTGAACAAATACTCGTCCCTTCTTACTGTCATGATGATCCAAACGAACAAAACATGGTGGAATAAAATGAAAGTAACTGAAGTCATTCCATGAAAGTGATCGAGATTGTTCATGTCGTTTTACTTTGAATGAAGCTGATTCACTATTTGTTGAGAAATACGGTGAAGGTGTAATGCGTTCAGATCGAATACATGATGCTTGTGATCGTTTACCGATGCTTCCATCATGTGTAAAATCCACATGAGCCATATCAAGTAAATTATCAACCATTAAATCATAGGGAATATCAAGATAACATGAATCTTCTGGAGATAATAAATATTCACCATTTACATTTTGAACATCAGTAAAAAGTCGATGTGGAATTAAATCCCTATTAGCTAATTCTCTTTTTCCTGGCCATATCCAAATAAATCCATATTGTTCATGAACTGGTAATGTTCGAGCACAAATTAATGAAGCTGTATTCGATTTTTTTGATACTGATGGAATATAAACACATTGACCATTAGCACCATATTGCCATCCATGATACATACATTCAAGATTACCTTCTTTTGTTATTTGACCTAAACTAAGTGGAGCTGATCGATGTGGACAAACATCTAATACACATACAACTTGACCGTCATTTGTTCGGTATAAACATAAAGGTTCATTAAGTAAAAGAAAACCAAATGGTCGACCTGAACCACATGATATTTCATGTGAAAATGCAACAGGATACCAATACGATGAATGATCTAATGGATCGTATGAAGAAGTTAATAGTGACGAAGGTTTTGTAGGTGAATAAGTTTGTATTCGACGACGAGCAGCATCACGTTTTTTTACTCGATTATATTGTCGGAGTACAAGAAATGAAAATACACCGATAATAATGGTCGTTGATAGAGTAAGAGCAACGACAAACATTTTGTCTATGAATGCAAAAAAAAGAATGTAAAAGAGTTACCTTTTCAAGGTTGTAGAGAGTAACTATATATACCAATATCAAGTAATGGTTACATAACACATTTATCTAATGTTTTTTACAAGAATAAAAGAAAATAAATGATTATGACTTTTTCTCAAAAGTCCAAAGAAAAGTAGAACATGTTCATATAACCTCGTAAAAAGAAAAATATAAAATTTGATTGAAAATACTTTTTTTAGTGTTTATTTTTGTATAAATATTTTTCATGACTTTAGTTCTCTGATACCTATTTCAAAAAAAAAATAAGACGGATGAATATGTTTCCAATAACTCTTGATAGAAACGAGATGAAGATATATCGAACTCTGTATTATAGGATAATTTGACATAGGTTTTTTTTTTCAAGAATTTAAGCTGATGAATTTGAAAACCAACGTACTTCATAACATGACTAAAGTTGATTTATAATAATCAGGTGCGTGCATTGGAACTGTTAATCGAAGATCTACAATACTGTATAAGGTCAAAACATTTAGATTTACTCGTTCAAAAGCTATAGATATTCTAATCGAAATTTCAAACCGATTTCGCTATTAATTTTTCTGATAAAATCAATATTTTTGGTTGTTCTTATTTTATGAGAAATCATCTTCCGATAATTTTTGTGAAAAATTGACTAAGAAAACTTTATAGAATATCTTTAAAAAAAACCTACAATATTCGATTCAATGTATCTTCATCTTCTGTTTCTAACGTTGAGAATCACAGCTTACTATCTCGTTTCTATCAAAAGATATTGGCAAAATATATATCCATATTGTTTTTTGAAAATGAGTATTTATATTAATTTATGATAGAATCAAAAACCACTTTGATCATACTCAAGTGTCTTTAATTAAAAAATGTTGAACTATTACTCTGATGCATTTTGTCACCAAATTCATAATCACTCATACGACAAGAAAACATAAAAATTTCTTTGTTTTCTAACTATTTTTCATTTATTTATAGATTTACATTCATTCGGTAAATGTAAAACTTGTATGATATCAACAGATGTTTTATCATGAAAAGCTTAGAAAAAAAAAAAAAAACTTTTTTTCAATTCACTAAATCATATTCCTTTTACTTATTATGAGTTACATAAGAAATGAATGTGTTTACTAACTTTTAAACTTAACATAATTCTTTTCTAATCGAATAATATTAAGGTTTTTATGAAAATGATAAAGCATGCAATAAAAAACATAGAGATATAAATATAGAATTAATATTGATTTATTCGACAAATATATGCAATCAGACAAGACAAAAACAAGAATTAGATAAATAGTTTTATATATATAAACAAAAACATGCATAACATATCACAAGAAGGAATTATTTGAAGTATCATCTGTTGACTTTTGAAATTAAATTTCGATCATCTTTTGATTTCCTGTATTTCAAAAATAACAAAAATCAACTTATTACTAAATCAAATTTGTTCCATTTAGTATGGAAAAATATGATTAAATATCAATGAACATTTTCGAAAAGAAACGACATCTAAAATACTATCCGAAATAAAACACTCTTCTCATCAGAAATCCTAAAACTTCTATTGTGTCTACGGAAGTACAGTTTTTCGAGCTAAGTTTCACAAGTGCTATATAAATCAGTCTTGATCAAGCATCATCTACGTATAAAACTGTTTCTCCAAGTATAGAATACGCATTATTAAGAAGAATATCTAGAAGTCATTTTCATTTTTCGTTGACACTTGAGATCATGGTTACAGTGTACTCTATGTAACCGCCACATTATCTGGTGACAGGTATTTGAATATCATCACATATTAACAAATTTATCCTTCTTCTGCTCATAAGTTCGTGGTATCGCGTGGATGCGAACGTGTAAATCTTCTTTTCGATAACACCCCACACTCAAGTCGTATTAGTAACTCTCGTAAAATTTTTGATTAGTTGTATATTTTAGAAGCCTCAGGAATTTCTATTGCAACGAGTAGTTTATTTGTATTTTAAGTAGTTCTCGTTGAAATAATTTTTTCATATAATTGTTGAACAATTATTAATGTTGATACCAGTTCAAATAGAAGTTTTAAACAGAATGGACAATTTTGATACGTATTTAAAACATTATGATTCATCTAAAACGTAATATTTTAATACAAGAAAAATATTGACTTTACAATATATTATTTTTTTCCTATAAAAAAAAATATTAATGAAAAAAAAGCATTAGTAAAATGAAATAGACAAAACAAAAAAAATACGAAATAAAAACTTCTTTTTTCAAGCTATTTAATCGCATGAAGGTTTCTTACCAAATGAATCATTCGAGATTGAGTATTATCGTAATGAATCATCAATGAAAAAGAAATATTTCTTTTTTTTTACAATAAATATACATTGTTACTTTATACACTAAACGAAATGCACTTATTTCACGAAATTGAAAATTCGCCTGCACACTTGATGACACATGAAGAAAATAATGATGCTTATATGACAAGAGTGGATAAGGGAAATATTCGAACAGAAAAAATAATCAATAATTTCCATCTACCATTCGAAGTCAAAAAAATGAAAGACACACTAGTCGTTCTTCACAATATTTTCTCAATGATTAGCTAAGACACAACAATTATGACTTGTATTGCTCATCATTAGTACTCAGATCATTTTCTCGTCCTCATAGTTTTCTTAAAACAAGCTATCTAGAAGAAAAATCAGTTCATCAAAAATTGTTCATTCTGAGATTGAAAAAATAAAAGTTAATAACACACAATTATTATAGTTTGAAGTTTTAGAGAAAGTCAATACATTTACTACTCAAAAACACTCCGATAGATCAATGAAAAGAAGAAGAAGAAGAAATGACTAATTAACTGGTTGGGAAAGAACCATTAACTTAATCATCATTTTGTTTTAGTAATTTCATGTGTTGTTTAATTTAATTCTGGGAATGATATCGTTGTTGCCTTCGACGACATTCATCTGGATCCATACCTCGTATTTCAAACTCTTGTTTACGTTGATAAGCTGCTGGTTTTCTGACCACTCGCCTACAAAACATTAATACTGTTAGCAAAATACAATAAGATATTTTTCATCTCGATAATTAACTTTAATTTTTTTATTGCTTAGAATATCATCAAGAGCGAGATTAGAAAAGAAAAACAAAGTTTTTTTTTGTTTCCTTTAGTTATTCGTAGATGAAAGTAAAAATTGTGAAACAATCGGAATAATTTGAAATAAACTATTTGTTAAATAATGATCATCATCAACTTCTACTAGTTTAATTAATTGTTTATTTTTTTGTTCATTAATAAAATCTCGACTAGCTTCAATTGGTACAAGACGATCAAGTTTTCCATGTACTATTGATGTCGGACATAATACTTGTGGATATAATGGATGATTTTGTGTTATATCATCAAAGAAAACATAATGTAATTGATGACCATTATATGAATATGATCCAGATGATTTCCAATTAGATAAATCATCATGTGATAAAAATTCACGCCAACGTGCAGCTAGACCAAATGCTGGACATAAAAGAAATAATTTTTTAATACGATCAGGATGTAGTTCAGCATAACGTGCAGCAATATAACCACCTAAAACAGAATTTTATTGATTTTTATTTAATTTAAATATAATTATTTACCCATACTCGCACCGATCAAATTCATTTTAATTTTTTCATCTTTGATATTGTTTTGTTTTTGTTTTTCATCATATAATTTATCAATAACTTTAATTGCATTCGAAACAGAGAATTCATTAAATGATGGTTGATTCAAATTTGGTTGTTCAATAGGAATATGAAAGAGTGATGCGACATATTTTGCTATTTGACCACCACCACCTATACTGCCTCCATCTTTAGTAAAGCCATGTAAAAAAACAAAGATTTCTGATGAAGAGATCATTATTGTACAAGTATTAAGTCAATTTATTCGAAAAAGTTTTTTTTTTTTGTATTAGAAAAACAGAACCAAGATATGAGAATGTGTGTAAAATAAAACAACCTAAACAAATTGAAATACCGTGTTGAATGTAGGTTTAGTTCTTGATTGAGGTTTCCTTTCGTTATTAGAATGAAGACAACAATCAAGACACGCACCCATTTATAAATTGAAGCTGTGATTATGTAAAGACAGTTCTAGAGTTTTCTTCTTGGCAGTTGTTATATTATGACAGCGATGCATGTGAGTCATTCTCTCAGCAATTTCAACCTATGACTATAAGAATCGGCCGATAATCCGGACAAGTACTACATCTATCGAAATGCATTCGATATGATATTGTCTGTTATATTGATTGTTAGTTAGTTAAAATAACTATAATGAAGTATGACTAATCTTTTTCTGTTTTGCACAGACTTTACTTTTACTGCCAAATACATTTTTGATTGATAATAATATTACACAGGAGCCTGTCTGGAGCAATAAAACCGGTTTTTTTTTGTTTTATTTTTCGTATAGAATTTCTATTTATTTCAAGAAAGTTGAAACATTATCTCGCATTTTATTCTTTTGTTATTGATTCTGTTGATGTTTAGAAAAGAAAAGAATTATGACATATATATATATGAAGCAACTATTATATTTGAAAAGTATTCTTTCATGTTAGTATAACAATAAAATCTTTCATTGACGAATGAAATTCTATAGTTTTGTATCTAATATAAGTTAATTGATTTGTTTAAATTTAACAACGGTGAAATATATTTAGTTTACATCAAAATACGACAAATTATTTTCATGAATAATAATGACAACATCTTAATAGGTCACAGTAAAATGCGATTTCTTTTGCACAGAATTATTAATGTTTTTCGGTTTGTTTGGCTCAAAAACATAAGAAAAAGCATAAATCACACATCAAAATTAACAAATAACCGTAATAAAATCATAGAACAAGGTAACGAAACATGTACGCTGACATAAAAGGAAAAAAGTAATTGCGCACTGTGTCAACAAAAAAACACTGAAAGTGAATTCTTGAGAGAGAGTATATATATTCAACTACGTAGTCTGAATAAGTCAGTCTGAGACAGAACGTGAAAAAAATGGCAGCATCGAATTTCAGTGATTTGTATTTGGCATGTTGTAATGGTGACGTTGCCGTAGTCGAACGTTTATTGCCAGTTACTTCATTGAAAGATCTTAATCATGTAGAACGAGATGGATGTACTTGTCTTCATGCTGCTTCCGCTCGTGGCTATAGAAATATTGTTCGCCTTCTTCTTGCACATGGAGCATATCGTCGTGTACAAGATCGACATGGTCGTTCACCTTTAGAATTAGCAAGAACAGGAGAAGTTGCAAGACTTTTTGCTCGTTCGGCAGAAGCATCACAACAACGTTATAGTGCTAGTCCAGCTCAACAACCAGAATGGCAATTCGAGGACGATCGTGCTGAAGCATTTTCACGCGCTATTCATTGGGGATGTATGAAAGATCGTGGTATAAAAAAAACAGTTAAAAAAATTCAGAAAGCACAGGTTATAGTAGATGATGGAGAAAAATCAACTGAAATTGTACAAAATTATTTTAAAGATGCATTAGAACAAAAAAATCCAATATACTTACTTAAAGCTTATACTACTGAAAGCCAATTTTATAAACGACTTAATCGTGAAATGGCTACTGGAAATAGTGAACAAGTATTTGAGAAATTATGTCGAAAATGGACGGGTTATTATACAGGTATTATTGCGAGAAATCCTGCATTTGAACGTTTTCGTTTTTCGGGACAAACATATCGAGGAATGGAAATAACTAGAGATGATTATGCACAGTATAAAATTGGTACTGCATTATCAAATAAATCATTTCAATCAACATCAAAATCATGGAAAATTGCCAAAGGCTTTGCTTATCCAGCAGAACCAAAACCTGGAAGATTACCTGTTATTCTAATTTTTACAATAACTGATCGAAGATCTGCATTGAGTATTGAAGATATATCAGATTATCAAGGTGAAGACGAAGTTTTAGTTTTACCTGGCACTTTATTTATAGTATCTAATATCAATGAAGATCAAATACCTTACGAAGTTGAATTAGAACAACTTGAATGGAAGAATGAATTTTGATCATTTATGAAACCGAATGTATTTTTATATATTTGACATTTTTCTTGGAAATTACTTTTTTCATGTAACATATTCAGTGAATTCTCAAAAAAAAAAAAAACTTTTGTTAAAATTAAACTTTACTTTTTTATAATTAATTTTAAAACCCTTTAGCTGTACAACAAGAATTCTTTTTATCCTACAAAAGTCCAAATATTTATAATAATGAGGTATTTGGTGAGAAATATTTTATGGTAGCAGATATAAACGATTAAAAAAATCATATGCTAGCAGACAAAAAAAGTGCACGTAGGAAAGAACACGATTATCGATACCTTTTATTAACCGAAGAAAGGTATGCTCCGAAGGCATTTTTCGACGCTCTTATATAAAAAGAAAAGTCAATAGTTTATAATAGTATAATTTAACGTGAATCATGCTGATAAAATTTGCTTTTCTTTTCTCTTGTATGATTACTTATTCCGTGACTACTATAGACATACATTTCGAATAATGTTTCTATATCGTTTTTACTTAAATGAAAACCAAAATTGAAAAAGTATTCATCTTTAATTTATCTAACATTTTGTTTTTCAAACTTTATTTCTGTAATATGATGATCAGAATTCATGAGAAGATAATTTATAAACAGAAAGATCTATTTTTTAAAGTGAAAACAATATATTATACACTAATGTCTGACTTTTGTCTATTGATTTATTCAGCCGAAAACTTCTTGATACAATATTAATGAATTGACTGCATTGAGTGTCCAATGATTTTCATTTGGAAAAAAACAAGAGTAATCTATTGGGAATACCATGGCTTTCTAATATTGTAAATGTACTATAGACCGTTGGTTGCAAAGTTTGTTTAATCATTTCTCTTGGAAAAAAAGTTTTTATTATTTTGCTGCCATACTTGGATGTTCGCCCAAGCACACGATAGACTAGCATAGTGTAATATTATTAAAAGATCATAGACCTGAATTTATGAAAAAGTTGAAAGAAAATATTTATGGAAGAATTTGTAACATAAGCTTCTCAAATTGATATAGTTCACATAAATGAAAACGGGTTTATAAAGAAAAATAATATCTTTACTGTTCATTAATCATATTAATTACCAGTTTCAGAAGTGCTGTTCCCGATATTTGTGTCTGATGAAAGGTACTCAATGTTATCCTCTTTTTTTTTTAATATTGATATCAACATCTTCATCTTTATCTTGTTTTTTTTTCATCGATTTCTCAGTTATTCTTTGCATTCTAAATAGAACATAAAGGTTTTTTTGATACGGGATCATCATCAATAAGCTGTTTTAGTATATATGAGTAAGTATACTTCATTTTCTTGATATTTCATCTGATAATCGTCGTACTCAACATCATCGCTAGTGAACATCCAGTTAGTAAATTAATCTCTATTTCTTTTATAACTATGTGAATAAGAACAATTAATTTAGTCGCTATTGGGAAAGGATAAGTAGTATGTGTAAGCAAATTTTCAAGTGAGAACAATCTAAGAATTACATCACATTGACAGAATAAGAATGTCAAGATAACACAAGTATCACGTATGCATAAAGCGAGTCATGACTTCTATTTGTTATCAGATATCACCTTTTACAACAGGATCAATTGTGGCGAGTTGTGACCATAATACATAATAAATATCTTTTATTCGAATACCAAAAAAAAGAAAAACAGCAAAAACCATCGAAATTGAAAAAAAAACAAAATCTCAACCTGATTTTGAGATCAAAAGATTATAGTACCTTGAGTATTTGGTGTACGATAATCATAAGTCTCATGAATAACCAACATTAGTTGAGTCCAATTAGTAACATAATTAACGAAATTAGATATTTCAAATGCTTGAAAATTTTTAAATCGAGTAAATCTACCAGCATCATTTTCAATGAAACATAATTCATCTATTGAATCCATTATTTGTCTCATATCAAATATCTAATGATAATTAACAAATCTAATGGCTATTTAGATTCTCATTGAATAAGGCTTCTAGTAGTTTTCTAATGAGTTTTATTTATCACTTACAGAGTGGTACAATCAGAATTGCAATATTAAATTCCATCAAATTGTATAGTACAACAAACTGATTCAGTCTGCTACTATTTTGTATTATACAAGAAGTATTCTTATATACATGCTGTATTTCAATTTTATCATATTTGTTTTGTATAAAAAATAACTGTGAAATATATAAAACGCAACAAAGTAAATTAATCAACATAGTCCATCGAATAATGATGTATTATTATTCACTAAATGAAACATATCTGTATAATGATTGTTCATGTTGAGCGATATTAGTTACAGTAAGAAGTTTTCATAAGTACTTATAAAATGTATAATGAATATTCCTAATTATAAATACAGTTATATATAAATAGTTAAACATTGTAGTAATTAAGTATTTTTGTCTACTGACAAGTTCAACTTGTCATAATAGAATAAAAACAATAAAAAAAAATTATTTTGTCAAATAAACATATCTATGAACGCATAAAAATAGAATAGACATCTTCATGATTCTGAATTACAAAAAAAAAACATATCAATGAAACTATTTCTCACTATCAATGTAAATGTTTTAAAAAACAGAAGAAAAAAGAAAACATTGTAAAAAAGATTTTATCAAAACTCTATATTCACATATTCATTCGTGTATGAAATGAAGATCATCTAGACATTAAAATAATTCTCAATACGTATATGAAGAATTCATCATAGATATTATTATTTTTTTCTATGAATTTGTTATCTTCTGTCTAAAATGTGCTTTTATAACTGTTTGTATGTTTATTCAATTCAAGTTTAGTGCATGAAAAAAAACTGAATACATTTAAAAATATCATTTGACGAAGTAAACATGTAAGCAATTCATTATATTTTTCGTCGTTAGGATGTGTTATTAGTTAGAACACAAGGTGCTTTTTTATTTTTTTTTATTTTATAGATCATTAGAATGATTTTAAAGCGAGATTTTGGCATCTTAAATGAAAAGTCTTTGGTTATAGCATTAGACTGTTTAAAAGCATTTAGGCAATTTTATTGTAATATAAACGTGAATGTTTATAAAATATTTGTGACAAATAAAATTACAGAGTCAATATCAATGTCTTATGTACTTGAGCAATCATAAGCGTACTTCATTTTTCTTCCCTGAAGTTACATTTAAGGTTTTTCTAAGGGCTTCAATAGCTTCAAGGATTCTTTGTTGATCAGCTGACTTCTGAACACCAAGTTGAATGAGCTTCTTCTTATCAACATGACAGAGCAGATGAAATGCATCAATATTATTCCTTCTGAAGTTAGATACATAACGCACATATTCCTCATCGAGAGACATAATCCAAGTACAAACATCTTCACATGTTTCGAATTTTTTGGGAACCTGCGTGGCTATAATAGGAAAACGTAATAGGAAATAATTCTCAATATATGGTCGAAAACAAAACTCTTACGTTTGGATACAGGCATAGAAACCGCGACTTGGAGTGGCTTTGGATGGAGGGAAGACATAAGGTTATTCGAAACAGGTTGCAAAAGCGAATAATTATTGTAATTAGAAGCAGCCTGTGGTGTAACAATTGCAATAACCTTATGAGATACCATTGGCTTTAGATTTGATTTCTTGATGATATTTGGTTCTATGACAACCACCTGATGAACGAGTTGGGATACAGGACCTTGCCTTATTTCAGAATGTTTGTCAGGGAATCGCTGTGAATTATATGGCGAAACGGGTGTGCGTGCGTTGGAATTAACAGTTAGCTTATCAGGCGAGTAGATAGTGTTATTAGGTGGTTGATGACGGGTAGAAATAGCCGAAACCGACTCCTGCAATCTATTTGGACGCCATCTTTCTCCTTCGTACACAATCCATTTGCTCAGACACTGTATTAACTTTGCACCGTATAGAAAATTCAACCATTTCCTAGGTAATTTACTATAACCATAATATGCACCAGCTAATTGGCCATAAATCGCCGCTGTTGTGTCAGTATCATCGCCGAGGTTGACTGCAGCAAGAGCTCCAACTTCGAACGAATCCTTATCATAGCAAAAAGCCCACAAAGCGGCTTCCAGAGCATTAACAACATATCCTGTGCCTCGAATGCCTTGATCATATCCACCTTCTTTTTTATAAGATCCTTGCGCAATATTCATTATGTCTGGATGAAGCTCCTCATTACCGAACCAGTCTTTATGTTTAGAATAAAAATTGTTGTCGAGCAGCTCATCTTTGCTCGCACCATGGAGAGTGGCCGCAATTAAAGCACCGTAATAACGACAGGCATCATAAGCACGCTGATCATCATGAGTAATTTTTGCACTGAGTCCACAATACTCAACGGCTTCCTTAGGATAACGGTGGAAGAACAACGGAACAGAAGCGAGTCGCATTAAGGAACCATTACCAGCTACGTTCTTTTCACTACAGACTACATCGAACTTATTTAAAACTTCAGAAGGTTTCAAGTGGTCCATTTGGTCATATGGAACATTGTATTTTCTAGAGTATTCAAGTTGACGACGTTCAAATTCCATTAAAGATCGTTTAGTGGATGCACCAATATCAAAACATCTGCCTACAGAAGACATATAACCGTTCTTAAACCACCATTTATATCGAACTAGTTGATCATATAGAAAAAATTCTCGATGTGCCACCAAAGAAATTGCTAGACATAGAGTCATTGATGTATCATCGGTGAACTAAAATTAGGAGACAAGCAGTTACTTATAAGGCTTTAAAAAGACAAAAGCTAGAAGGGTTCGTCCAGCATTTTAGAATATTTTATTACTAACACCTTGATTGCAACGATCATTTAGAGCATTATCTATAATCATCGAAAAATGTTATACTTCTGTATGTTAATCAAACGAAATGCCCTTATACATCAGAATATGTTTGATCAAATTATTTGTGATGTGGTCCACATTCTTAGAAGAATTGCAATCGCATATCTTCTACAAAAAATCTCTATTCTCTTAGAATCGAATTAAAATCGAAATATTTCTTGCAACGGATTTTATTGGACTAAAAAAATATATATATAATGTAGGAGCAGTCTGTAAATGACGCAGAAATGGTAGATTGTGCCACTAAATGATTGATAAAGCTATACACCTAGATATGCTAATGACTTTTACTACTGTTCCACAAAACCAAAATACTCATTTATTATGTGCTCTTATCATATTGTTGGGTTCTATGAGACTAATTTTTCAGAGAACAAAATAAGTAAGTTCAGAAAACCAAATCTATTAATTGACTATTTATGAAGCGGATATTACCGCTTATTGCTAGAATCTTTTCATTGTTTATTGAAAATCCCTCTAGGGGGTATACTAGTTCGCTAATAGTTCCGAATTAAGAATATGTTGGAAACTTCTTTGTATCGAAAGTGGTATATTCATATGGTTGTTTTAAGTAGTTCATCTGATTTATTTAAGCTTGAGCTGTCCGAAAACTATATTTTCTAGAGTACAAAACTAAGTCGAATGGCCGTATAATCTGATTCTATTTGATCTAAGTTGCTTGGTAAAAATTAAGAGCTAGACATTAATATTTTATTTTGCCTTAATACGATATTGTATTTGCTTCAGGTTTTCTCTAGCTTACTTGGCCTCTCTGTTTTTTTTTCATGCCAATACTATAATAACAATAGAAAAGAATTAAGTTTAATCTTTATAGAGAGCCAATCAAGTCGTTGGAATCACTTTAGATAACTATAGTAAAAGAAAGTGGCAAAGTGCACTGGGGTGCACATAGGCACATCTTAGTGTATTGGCTATATGCACTCAGGTTGGTATTATCAATTAATTAGTAAGTATTCAGTTATATTATAGTCATATATGTACTTCATAATTAATATAAATAAAATTTATTAATTTCGAATTAAAACAGGACTTTAAACTAAAATTCTTTCAATATGAGAAAAAAGAGCTACGAAAATGAGACATAAAATCAGAAACTGATGTAAAAGAAAATTCCATTATTTTCCTTGTGGAAACAGATATTTTCATGTGATTACTGTTAGTTGTATTGAAAATAATGAAAATACAAGTATTTCCTTCAAAATTTAAGAAATAAAGCGCTAGAAATATTTCTAAATCAGTTAATTTTTAATAAAATATGTATATTAAAAAACTAATATACAAGCAGACTTAGTGACCTGTTTCAGACTTCATATGTTAAAGTATTTGTTCTCTTCAAAACTTTGACCTCGCATGTGCAGATATCCTACAACTCATATAAAAAATATTTCTAGTCGATAGACGCTCTAAAAAAAATGAAAAAAAAATTAAGTTTAAAAAACTCTTCTTAACTAGTAGAAATAGTGTTCGCTTCTCAAACTATATTAGGTGTTCTTTGTGATTATTATGTTGAAAAAACTAATCTACAAATTGTGTAGATAAAAAACAGATATCTGACAAGCAATTAAGGTATAATCAATGTTGAAATTTAGAGTCTAAGGGTAGTTTTTGTTTTAGCTATGGTATAAGCTTTGATAAACACTAATCGAGTCAGTAGTAATGAAATTTATTTAGAGAGAGAAGTTACCTGTCCTTTCTCGAGTCCCCATGTGCCGCCACCCTCGAGATCTTTCACCGGATTTGCGATTAAAGCAGGTTGAGGCTTAAATTCGACATGGGCACCAAGAGCGTCGCCCAAAGCTGTGCCTGCCATAGAACCGTGTACACGATCGAATATTTCTTCAGGAATTGGCACCGGCGGATCCGTCAGCTCATTTTCGAATTCATCGGGCTTCATGATTATTCCGTTTCGATGACACCGCATATCAAGCCATTGTTTTTCTAAAACTAAAAATCTCTTTGTAATCGATTGATTCAGTTATTTCTGTTAGAAGCACATTTTTCGATAAATAGGAAAATCATATATCATACACAAGGAGTCTTCGTATGCGGCCTGCCAAAAGTTATATATGAAGAAAGCGTGTGTAAAATTTTCATTTATCTCCTCAAAATATAGATAAAATTTTCATTCTAACAAATACAACCATCATTGTCATAGACATCATTTAATTCTGAAACGCGGAGCACAATTTATTGTTCTTGGTCTAATGAATGTATTCTGATTCAAAGTTTTAAGTATGTTGGTTTTCGATGACACTTGCTATCAAAAATAGCATAGAAGTTCATTACGAAGTGTTTCTTTGTCTTTATATTCTTATTGAAAATAATATTCTAGGCTTTCTAACAATGAAAAAATCTGTTGAATCTACTGAAAATGAATCATTAAAATTCAGTGAATCTTTTAGTATTCACTTACGAAAAAAGGGCAGTCCAGACGTTTTTTCTGAAATTCTTCTTAGACTTGAGTAGTCTTTGAACGACACACATGGGCTAGTATTCACTTTATTTTATTTTTTTTACGCTTGTTGAAGGTCATAATAAAGTAAACAGAATTACACAGTACCTTTTTCAGAAGATCTCTGTCGAGTATTTGAACGGCTGCTCATGTTTGATGTTGATAAAGATAGAATAATCTAGTTTATCTAGGGTATTGCCGAGTTATTTTCAATTATGTTGTTGTGTTGTTTGATGAAACGTTGTTTTCATATCTGTCTTGTTCTACAAAGTGTCAGTAAGACGAAATACTTATAGTTTTGTTTTTCTCTTCTTCCTCTTCGTCGCAATAAAAATATATATCATGAATAAGTAAAAAAAAAATCACTCAAGTGGAAAAAAAGCAGTCACTCTCACGTGAAACAAAAATAGACCACATACTTGTCCACTACGAACATTCACAGAGGGGTGATTGCAAAAATCCATGCGTCCCATTCTTATGAAAAATTTGCACTATCAATCTATGAAACATTTATATTTATCGGCATATATGTCAAATAATCAATGTGAAGCATGTGTTAGTGCTGACACTTCGTTTGTTATAATTAATGGTTTATATCTTTATGATTCATATAATAACAAATACTGTCTTCTCTTCTATGACTCATATATAAAAATATCAACGTAATATAATTTTTCAGCAAACATTTGTCAAAAATAATAAATCAAAATCAGAAAGATATTAGTACATGTTTCGGATCGAAAACGAGATCTCAAAGTGATATAGATAACAATGCTTTACAAAAATCAATAGCAGATAAATTCTGTGATTTCAATAATAATAACGACTTCGAAATAGATAATAATAAAGAATTTACAGCTACTATTTCTACATTGTCTGTTACAGGGTTCTCCATTGGGGGGGCAATAAATGATTCCCCCCCCCCCCAAAAATTTCAGACTTTCTGCCGAATTTCTAGCAGAAAGTCAATATTATTTCTGTGAAGTTTCTCACAGAAAGTCGATTTCATTTCTGCTGTTATGTGTCATCATCCGCTCTTAAGTGACATATACTCATGTATGCATCTGAAACAGTGATGAAGACTAATTATCAAAACCTTTATGTTTTTCGCTTTGAAATAATTTTATATTAAAAAAATTTTATATCGAATGAGTCACGAACATTAGTCTTTGTCATTAGTGAAGAGCTTCTAATTTTTAGTAAGCTCAAACTTTTTTGCAAAAAAATCGACTTTCTGCTAACTTCTTTTAGCTTACCCTCCTCCCGCTCTCAAAAACAATTGGGAACGTCGGTTAAGCTATCCGATAGAATGCAACCAAGTGAACTCGATCAATACACAGAAAACTGCAATGTACATTAATAGAGAAATCAACACTACTTTCATGATAATATTTTTTGTCTATGAACTACTTCACAAGCTTGAAATATGAAAATAGTTCGATCTTTTCTTTCATCGATTTTTATTTCATTAAAGAGCAGAAATTTTATATGCATTACAAGGTGAATACATCGGTAGTTTTCCTAATACTCCTTCATAAAAATGAGAAAATAACAATAGAATAGTTCCTCTTCTATTTATAACAATAATAGGTCCAACTGATGCGTCTCGAAAATAATGATATCGAATATTATTAGGTCTATTCATGTTTTCCGTTTTAATAGCTATAGATGGTATACCAATAATAGTCATCTAAAAAAGAAACAGCAACAATTAATAAACAATGTCAAACAAAGTAAATAAATAGATTTCACTCTATGCTTATTCAAACATTATTTTTCTTCAATAAAACTGCAGTAGGCGACACTAATTCAAATAAGTGAATACATTTTTCTTAGTTGATTAACATCTCTTTTCCTTGCATTGAGTAATAATTACTATCAGCAGTATAACTTTACATATGTAAGTAAAACTTTTGTGAATATATCTATGACCACTTATATCTGGTATTGCGATATGCACTTGTCTACTATACAAAATAGAACTCTCTGTTTTCCTGTGTCATATCAATTTTTCTGGAAAATACATATGATAGTCGAAATATTATTTATTATATGATTTCTAAATTTCATTGTATCGATTGTTTCCTCTTTATTTTCGTTGTCAGAAGCATTTGTTTCAACGCCAACTAAGATCCATATAGTTCTTCATACGAGTAGGTATCAAGTGTTATATTGTTTGAGAAGACTGTTTTGAAAATGTAGTCACAAATCAAGGAATAACCAATAAAGCTGCTGTCTACCAAAAAAGTCCAAAAAATTAGGTTCTAACAATTGATGATCTGAATAGAAGATTACAGTTATCAAAAATTCAATTCAAAATGCATATTTACAAAGCAATCAATTTACAATTATAGCAATGAAACTATGATACAGATGAGCTGCGTCTTCAAATATTTATCTCTGGTAGTTTATATTCCAAAAATTCACATCCAAATTTCTTTTATTTTGTAGACAAGATATTTAATTAGCTGGATAGCTAATATGTAATGCCTGAGACAAGTACATAGTTGACTGGCTAACAGTAGACACTGTTAGTGCTTTAAAGATAATTGAGAGACATATATAGGATATTCTGAACAACTAGATGGCATATGAAACAGTATGTGAGAATGATATATCGAACATCATGACACTTGTAATTCGCGCTTCCAAAGGAACGCCATAGCAGGCATCAGATGCCTCATTATTCTATAGTAAAGTTTTGTTTATTGTATCGAATAAGCGTTAATCAATGTAAGTATTACTATTAACAAATTTTCTTATTTTCATTTTAATACGACTACCAGTTCGAGATCCATTAATTCAATAGATATGGCGAGTCGATAGTGACGTTTTCACATAATTCTCAACATAGCCATTGATGAATGATGTCCAAGATCACTTGATCATACAACTGTTTTAACCTCAATAAATGACTATCTATTGAATGCGAATTTATCACTAGTAGAATATTATATTTATAGCACTCGTGTACAAGAGAACTTTCTTCATAGCTTGTAGATTTTCACTTAATTACTGTGTTGTTCTCAACAGATCAGGCTTTTCATATGCATAAAAAAAGTTTCTTAGATAACTGTTAACTAAAAATGCTATTATACATTTGAATTTTTAGTGACTGATGCAACTCATCATACGAGTGGTGCTTTATTGTTACTTTACCAGATAAAGTTGAAATAGGTCGATTTTTTTGTCTAGATATGAAAAATATTGCTTTCTAACTTTTTTTCAAACGGGAAAATAAAGATAAAGTTCTATCCCTAGCCAATTATTCTCTATTGCTTATGCTTATAAAAATTTATTCTATGCATCATGCACGTCACGAGAATAAAAGGTTTGACATAACTACTAGACTTTGTCGTCTTTCTTTCTGTTTTTCGTTTCAACTATTACGCTTTTGTATCAAAAAGACGAATGAATCATCATATCTATATATCAGACACTACTTTGAATCAGAGTAAAGAATCTTGCTGTATTTGTGTTTGACAGAGAGGTATAATACGAAAGAATGAAAAAGTGTGCCAATGGCAATGTGGACACTAAACTCGTTTGTGTTGTTTTTTTTCGTCGTGTGGCAACAGGTGAAAGAAGTGCACCTATTGACTAAAAGAGACATTATAAATTTAAAGCTACACATAAAAAACAACAAAACCCTGATTAATCGTTTTAGAGGGCATTTTTTTTCTTGTGACTTTTTTGCTTCTATAATTGTTCTCACTGCAGTATTCTGCTTTTTTCTTAGTCATATTATTATTACGAGCACACGAACAGCAATCGATATGTCTTTAAAAGAAGAACAACCACAAGAACACAATATACAAGCAGGTCTGGCTATGTTTAATAAGTATATGATACCTAATAATAATTTGGATGGCAAAGAGAAAGCCGGTGATGAAGCGTCAATTAGAAAAGAATCGACTTTTTCCAACAATACATTATCCAGTAGAAACTCTGATCCGACTTCGACTTCTTCAACGCCATCGAATGTTAAACCAGTTGGGTCTAACAGGTTTGATGTGTATTAGTACTTGTTTATATTCAATTTTTATGTTATTCTCAATTAGATTCTTCATGCCAACCAAGAAATGATTTCTTTACTTATGTTAACTTCGTCATATTGCCAAATATAAGTATATTTCTTACACACTTACATGATGTCTTGCAAAGAGACAGAGAGTTTTGCAATTTTTATTTATTTGATTAACTTTTAACTAATAAACGGCAAAAGAAAACAACCTAGACATAAAAACAAACAGTCCACTTTAGTATAAACACTCTCTTCGAATTCTAATAACTGATAAGCAAAAAACTAATGATACTACTATCTTCGAGATACTAACAAAAACAAAAATAAAAAAAAAAATTGAGAAGATTATATCTGAAGTGTTGAACTTTTCATAAAATATCAACAAATATTTTTTTTCATAATAACAATCACTAATTGATTCATCGATGCAATATCAAACCGAAACATGTAGCATCAACGAAAAAGTACACTAAAGTTCTAGACATTGTTTTTTCATATTAAACTTTTTCTCAAAATGTTTATTAAATAACAAAGAAAACGATAATTGAAAGTAGATATTTACTTTCATTTGAACCTATCATAATTCTGACAATTGTTGCAATCTTTTTGTTTTTTTTTGGACGGATAGCTGGTTCTCACATAATCTGCTTTATAATTTCTTCGAAAAATGTTAATAAAAAAAAATAGCAAGCTTTTTCTAAGAGAAATCTGAAATAGATCTAAACCTTAAATAAAATCTTACATTAACTATGACATTTGCTTTTCTTTACATCCAGGTTTTTCGTCTATTTTTACACCCTTTTTGATATGTCATTTTGTACGACCGAATCTTTTACACATGCAAACTTGAAAGTTGCATTCAAACAATGAGGAATTAAAATAAATTTTTTCTTGATTTCTGTATCGCGACGTTGGAATGCTGAGCATTACAGAAGGTGCCATGATCCATACTCGTCTGCAATTTAAACTGGTATGGTAGTTTCAAACTTACAGAGGAAACGTTGGATAATTGAAGATAGCTATGACAAATTCTCAGAAAATGTAAAATATGATATGAATCACTCTTTGGTAAATTTGTAAGTATTATTGAAAAATTCATGCGACCAAAAGATAAATAACATTTATCTCTATTAATTACTCGTTTCAACAGAAATTTTTACATATAAAATACATGAAGTTAGTATCGTGTTCGAGAAAAATATTTTTAAATAAATTTTCTTTTTATTTTGTTTATTTACTATTTAAAATAAGTATAGAGGCGTACGCATCATGTTAAAACACAACAACAGAAAAAAAAAACTATACATACGGATCATTCATAACATCATCTTCAGAAGAATATAGATTATGAACTTTATTGGTTTTCTTTTATATGTTTGAACAACTTATTTCGACTTTTCTCGTAACGCCGAATAATCAAAAAATTAACTAATGAATAACTCTCGTATGAATAACACTAGCATCACTGAAAAACTATTGTTATTCGATGATTCTACACGTTTTGTTTCTAAAAAAATTAGATCATCATAAATGATTTACCTCATTGATCGTGCATTTTTCTTTTTGATCTTTCTTCCAAAGAAATTCTTTATTGTGAATGCAAAAATAGGAGTGCTTGATTTAGTTTGATAAAGAGTTATATTATATAATATTATTCGTTATATAAAGTTTTGAACATCACTTATAGTTTTGCCAAAAAAGCAATTTCGATCATGTTTGACATTGTTCAGCACTTTTTAGATAGTTTTCGTCAATTACTTTACTTTGCTCTATATTAAGAATAACATTTTATTAAGAATAGCATTTGTCTGGTAGACTTTTGAGAAAGAAAATAAATTATAGATTGTGCAGGTATACAATGAATGAAGTAAACGAATATATATACACAATAGAAAAAAGAGAAATGGCATTTTCTTTACAAAGTATATCGGAAATTAGGATGATGATCACCGACGAGTTCCTCTCCTCCGTAGTTTTCCACTTGTTGCTTAATTTGTTCATCATTCATTCGTTTTCGACGACAATTAATTATCATTAATATAAATCGAAGTATAATCACCAATATTGTTTGCAATGCAACACAACAGAATGAAATGGTATGACCAATAAAATATCGTGGCTTTTGGTTAGCTCGATATATTTGACCTGCTATAGCTCCACCACTCGTACCAATCGAAACGATCACTGCAGCTGCGGTGGCACGTCGAGTGAGTGAAGCACTAAATATCAAAATTCAAGTAGATAAAAACAAATCATATAATAAGAAAAAAAAAGAACAAGACTCACAAATTATTATTGAACCAAGCAATTTTAACACTAACATTGGCATAAGTGCCAATGGCAGCAAAAATAATGCCTACATATAGTGCACCGACTCTCTTTTGGTCGATTAACATAAGCATTAGAAAACCACATAGGGAGAAGAGATTTGTAATAGAACAATGAAGAGAACGTTCCATGAAACTATATATAATACTTTAGTTAATGTTTGAAAAATAATAACAATTGACTCACTAATCGGAACTATAAGAAACAATGAGAATAGCAAAAAATGCTCCTATATATGGTGGAATAGTCATTAATTGTGCTTGAACAGGTGTCCATTCTCCTAAATTATTAATAATCACTGGTAAGGAAAGAGTTATACCTTGTGTAGCAATTGTTCCAGTAATATAAATAATAGCATAAATATAAGTCTTCCAATCAATAAATATGGATAAAACTTGTGACCATGAAAATTTATGTTCTTTTGTTGGACCGGCATCTTTAGCAAGACGATCAATTTCAAGTTGACGTTCTTCATCATTCAAAAATTTTGCTTTTTCTGGTGAATCAGGTAATAAAAACCAACAACACAAAGCTAAAACGAAGGTTGGAATTCCTTCCAGCTGTGAAAAAAAAGACAATTTTATACATATTAGATATTTTTTGTTCATGAAAATCGTACAATAAAGATTAATCGCCATTTAGATAATTTTACTGAACTTATTTGACTGATACCATAAGCAAGAACACCCGAAAATGCACCTGAAAGTGCTGAAAATGACCAAAATAAGCCAAGCCGAATAGCTTGCTGCTTTCTTGAATACCATAAAGATGTAAAATAAATAATTCCAGGAAATAAACCAGCTTCAAATGTACCCAACAAAAAGCGACATACAAGAAGGCCAGAAGCATTTTTAACAGCACCCATACATACCGCAACAATACCTCTCAGATTAAAATAATATACATTGTTATATGTAGATTTACGAAAATAAAACAACTACCGAGAAATATATGAATTAGAGATAACCATTTTGATGGTTGCCATCGTCGAAGTACAATGTTTGATGGAACCTCGAAGAAAACATATCCGAAGAAGAAAATAGATAATGCCCTTAATAAATATCAATCATATAAATATATATTTTAGTAAATGAAATTGAATTAATTTACCATTGATACTGATCAGAAGTTAATCGAAGATCATCTTCAAGGTCAATTAATTTAGCATTAGAAATATTTGATCGAATCAAATATGAATTTAAATATATAATACTAAAATACATACATAAATATTTAATTTTATCTTACTAATTATGAAAGAAATACATACGAGAGAAGTGGTAAGATATGTAAATCAAGTTTTCTGGTTAAAGCTTGTGTTCGTTTGCGAATCTCTTTATCATTATCATCATCATCACATTGATCTATTGATGATTTGTTGTTGTCATTTTCAGAAACCATTGTAAAAAAAAAAACTACTTGTATTTAATATCAAAACTCTTGTATGGCCTGTTAAAACGAGAGAAAAATTTTAAAAATGACTATGTATGGTAATTAGAAAAAGTATATCAGTTACCAAAATATTTCTGATGTTAATAGAAAGAGCAAGAAGTACAGACATGACGTTTCATATTCATTATGGTACGTAGTATTCATTGACGTTATTTTTTACAATGAAGCGTAAAAAAACCATAAAGAGAAACAAGTAGAAAAGGCAATCAAAAAAGCATAACAAAAACATAATTTTTTTTTCATTGGATGACAAAAATAACGTTTAGATTCAACTTGATAGACACAGAATCTGTATTTTAAAATTGAACTAACAACACATATTTCTATTTTGTTATCAAGTTAAATAAATAATCTATGTCTAACTGTCAGTATAAAAATAGTTTTAATTATTGAATATCATCATCTCTTTACGAATGATGCAATCTCATTTGAGACAACTGACTAAAATATACTTATTAGTGCACGTGTTTTTTTCCTTCTTTCGATTGACTCTATGACTTCAATATTTTTTTTTATTATTCGATGTAGCAATCTATACTATATAGAGTCAATTATTATGTTGAGAGTCATACTTGTAAACATTAATTAAATATCTCTGAAATTAGACAAAACAAAATAAATCGTCTAAAGCAAGCTAAATTCACTATTTAATAAAAAAATATGAATGTCATTTGTTGTAAAGGTTTTTATTTCAATTTTAATGTTGACAAAACATAGTTTCTAATATCATTCTATAAAACAAGTGTGACGATATTAAATAAATAGATTTTTTTTAAAGTGATGTTAATATTTTCAGCAGAATTTAAATAGCCAGTGATTTCATTTTATATCAATACTTCTGGTATTGTATATTTTTCTTCTGTCATATCGCATACGTGTTCAAACATTCATTATCTTATCATGTTTGTATTAAAAATATATCAACAATGACAGAAAAGTATTTTTATTGATACAGAAGAAAAATTATAAAACTTTTTATTTTGTCCATTGATTCATCCAGTCAAGAACTTCTTGATACCAAATTATTGAATTAAATGGATTAAGTACCCAATGATTTTCCGTTGGAAAATAAAGTAATCTACTTGGAATACCACGTCGTTGTAATGCTGTAAATGTACTAATACCTTGAGTATTTGGTACACGATAATCATAACCTCCATGAATAACTAACATTGGTTGAGTCCAATTAGCAACATAATTAATTGGATTAAATATTTCAAATGCTTGAGGATTATTATATTGAGTAAATCCACCAGCATCATATTCAATAAACCATAATTCATCTGTTGAATAAGTCATTTGTCTCATATCAAATATTCCATGATGATTAACAAATGCTTTAAAACGTTGATTCATTTGTGTATGTCCAGCTATCCAATTAATCATATAACCTCCATAACTAGCACCTAATGCAATAGCTCGATTTCCATCAATATAATTATATTGATTTAAAGTAGCATTTAATCCTAATTGTAAATCTTCATAAGGTAATGTTCCATATTGTTGTTTAACACTATTAGTAAAATTTTGTCCATATGAATCAGATCCATGAAAATTAATTGCAATAACAGCATAACCTTGTGATGAAAATGCCTGAAAATTCCATCGATAACTCCATGAATTATACCAACTATTTTGTGGACCACCATGAATAAGAAAAGCAAGTGGAGCTTTTTGATTTGTTCCGTTTATAGGTGGAATATGCCATGCCCATACTGTTTCATTATTTGCACCAATAAATGAAAATTTTTCAAATGAAGAACTCATTCGAATTTTGGATAATAAATTTTTATTATGATTTGTTATCGATTGAATTGATGTTGATGATAAATATAAATAAATATTAGATGGTTGAAGAATATTTTCATAGGTAAATAAAAAAATATTATTATCTATTGGATGAATATTAATATTACTTGATGTACCATTATTTAAAAGTCGAATAATAGATGGATTAGGAAATCCTAAATTAGATACTTTATAAATAACCTCATTTGCTTCTTCACCCAATTCAAGATAAAGTGATTGACCATCATTTGACCATGTTAGAACTTGAATACTACGATCCCAATTATTAAGAAGTGTTATTTTAGAATTAGAACCTATAGAGAAAAAAAAATTTAACAAAAATTGATTAAATGAATAATTAATTTACCATTAATTAAATTGATTTTAAATTGGTCAGCTTCATAAGTAGGTATTGATTGTGATCGATAAATTAAAATTTGATCATCAATTGGTGAATAACTTGGATCTGTATCTGCACCTAAGTTTTCACATGTTATACATACACTAATTAAATTTGATAAAGTTAAATCAACAGTATATATGTCTGAATTAGCTGTCCAAGCCACTTCACTTGTTTCATCATGTTGTCTTGTATAAGCAAATAAATTTCCTGTTGAACTAAATGACCATTGAGTTTTTCCATCACCAAAAGGTTTTGTTGGTGAATCACTATCAATATTGAAAAGAATATCTTTTGGTATAGATGAAAAATAATATATTCCTTTAGAATTTCTTGCAATTGAAACAATAAATGGATGATTACGTCGACCAAGCATATATTCATCCCAATGTCGAATAAATAATTTATTAAATTTATAAACTAAACTTCCACTAGATTGTTTAGATTTTTCTTGATTAAATGTTTCTTCAATAGATAAATTTACATAAACTTGACAACTAAATGCAAGACGTGTACTTTGACGATTAACTAATAAATTATCAATATTTAATGGATAAAATGTTATTTGAATTGGTTCAATAAAATCATTTATATCTTTTATTTCATCGGGTAAAGTTAATTGAAATAATTGTGTAAGACTAGATGATGCTCGATTCGAAAGAAAAAGTATTATATTATTATCAATCCAATAAAACTATAATAAAAATACTTTAAAAAAAATTAAGATTCAATTATCTTATTAAATTTACTTGCTGATCATGGATACCCCATATAGGTCGAGTTAATTGAATTGTTTTATTTGTTTCTAAATCAACCCAATGTAATGTTGTTGATGATCCATTTAAATCAGGCATATGATATTGTTTTCTTAAATAAATAACACTTTTTCCATGTATTGGATGAAAACGCGGTGAAGAAAGACGATCCAAACGAAGATTATGTGTTTGACTAAAATTATATTTCATTGTTAATTTATCATAATAATCACTATTTGATTGATAATCATTAGCATTCCATATTGAAGATTCTGATGAACTCGAACGATCTTTTGATTTACTTGAAATAACAATGACACAAGGAATAAGTACAATAATAGCACCTAATAAGAAGGATACAGCTGGAATAATATACTAAATAAATAGGTAATAGGAAAATAAGAAAGAAAAATGAAGAAATTTCATACAGTTTTAGATTTTGATTTAATCGTAGTATCCATCAAATATAGATTTCCACTTTTTTCTGGAGATAAACAGTCCTAATAATAATAGAAGCTAAAAGGAGAGCAAGATAAAAAGTATTCTGTTATAAGTTCGAATAATCACACTGGTTCGAGCATAATCGAGTATAAATAGTAAAATTAGGATAGAAAAAATAAAATAAAATGATACATATGAATGAATGAAGACAACATATGAAGAAAATTATAATTAAATATTGTCAGGTATATCATTAAGTTAATTGTGTATGACGCAGTTTACAATCATCGATTAGTATATTTCGTCGTTGAATTACTTTATATTTTATGAACGTAGTTGATATCGTACATATGGGTCTATTGAGATTAATAATATTTGATTATAGTTGTAGATGAAAATAATATCATGCATAATCAGAAAAGAACTATATAATAAATTCAGTTGGTTATTATCAAAGGTTATCCGAACTAACAATGGAAAAGAAATTCATTGATAAATCTATTTCTATTTATAATAGCGTTCGTCGTTTTTGTTATTGATATTAATATTGTGTCTGGTATTGTCATTCACGATAATGATAACACAATCGATTACTTTTATTGTTGTGTCTGTTGAAATCTACTGAATTAACGATTGCAGAAACCATTATTTTCTAACGAGACTCTTAAGATGAAAATATTTCTTTTTTTTTTTTTCTACTTTTCAGCAGTTAGTTTCTTAATTGAAAAATGAAAAGCAACGTTTTAAAGAGAAATCTTATTCAATCGAAAGAGGCTACGCAATCACGATATAAAGCAGTATATAATTATAATAGATTGATAATTTCTGTATGATTGTAAAAGAATCCCTTGCATTGCTCTCGTCATGAAATCCATCGAAATATTATTTCAATATATAAATTTAGATTTTATAAGAACATTATTCAATGATCATATCTTAGATAAGAATATTAAATCAAATATTTAAAGCTTTTCAAATGAAAGATGATTAAACATTTTTTAACGAATAAATATACAAGAAAAGTTTACAATCACATAAAATACTAATTTCAAGGTAATATAATTTTCAGTATTATGAAGACATAATGCTGAGATTGATAGAAATAATTATAATGCTTTTTTAATAAGTAATTCAACGATAAAAATTACAGCAAGTTAAATAAACTAATTCATCTCCATACCATGCGTTGTATTATTTACATCTATTAAATGAAATAAAAGCGCAAATAAAATGTAATATTCATCAATTTACATCTGTGTGGTACACATACTCGTACATCGTCTTTTGACATATATACCCACACCCTCTTAGCATATGTACACTTGCAAACAAAATTACGACGGTGAACATACGGTTAATAATCATACTCAAAATAAAAGATGTATATATATACTTGATCGATTATTTCTTTAATAATAGGTACGAAAAATATCAGCTCTCGTGTAAAAAAAACCTCTGACCTTTTGCAAATATCAATAATTGAAATATGATCTCATCTTACATCAAGTTCATTTTCTACAGCCCAAAGTAGGTATAATGCTTGAAGAACTATTAAAGTAATGCTACGTGATAAATAAAATCTAGTCGATTAGATCAAATTATACTAGATCATATATGTTAAAAGAAAATTTAATCATATGTACCTTTGTCAATATTTCTGAACAACGAATACAATTATTGCATTAAGAAATATTATTAATTGCTATTTATCAATAAATAAATTTTAATACATATCATGTTATTATATTTACTATTCAATTTTTGTTCACAATATAAATATTTAGCTAGATAATAGTAAAAAAATGAAATTGAAATTTGTGTAATTTTAATCAAAATTTATTATATTATTAGTAAATGAATCTAAACTTTTGAATTCGAATTGTATCACTGAGTACTTTTGTTTATAAATCAAGTAAAAAAAAAAAACGGATTTTAATATGCATTTTAAGTATATTCTTATTGATAGATTAAATGCCTCAAAACATGCAACATATGAATGTAGGCGTTATAGATGTGAAAAAGAAAATATTTATATGTTTATTTAAAAGTCGAAAAAATAAACGGACTTTTTTTTTCATAAAAGAGTCGATGATTTCTTCTTTTTTACATTTTATTTTAAAAAAATACAGTCAGTAACATAAGAAAGTAATCTCATATAATGGCCTCTCAAGAAAATATAACTCACACTGGCTATTCCAATGAATTTGTAAGACAACTTTGTTTTCTATGACTATCTTAAGTCAATCATTCTATCGAATTAAAATAGGGTAAACCAATCGGTAATGATGTCGACAAATGGTTTGAACATGGTGTGAAAACTGTAGGACCGTAAGTTAACATGAAATCAATAATTAATTTGTATAGCAGAGTTTCTTTTAAGAGCAGCCGACAGTGAATTTTGTACCAGGACACAAACACTTTATATAATACTGTTTGTTATTGCATTTATCATTTTAGCTACTGTTATTATGGTACCTATTATTGTTGGTAACTCAAAACAAAATGGAAACAGTTAGTGCTCTACAACACCAAATTTCTAATTATAATATTTCAAATATGTACTTTTTTTTTATCAAATAATTCTATGTATTTTATAGAACAAAATAAAGTTTTCTTTTGCTGGTTTTGAATATTTTCATTGAGTTTATATGAAACAAATTTTCACAAAATTTTTTTTTTATAATATTTTACATGAATAACAAAGTGTACATTATGATACTGAATGAAAAAAGTTAGTTTATTTAATATTTGAAAGAAATAATTAAATAGATTATATAAAAGTTTTCATGTGAAGTTTTTTTTTTTTGAAAAGAAACGCATATTAATTCCTTAGAGAGCAATATAATATGTTGAATCAAGATAAGATTTAACGCTCGTGCATCAATTATAACAACTTCTTGCTCTTCCATTAAAAAGAGTCAATTTGAAGTGGTCTAACAAACAAGTTTACTCCTTTAGAATCATCGAATTTCACAAATACTTTCTTTATAATTAAACTATTTTCTGATAATGTATTTCAGACAATTATTTTCATTGTAAAATACTAATCTATTAATTAAAGTCTCTCTGTAACGTAAGAGAGACTCGCCAAAAATTGCATCAATACTGAGGCAATACTAATGCGATATAAATGTTATTTTGTCAGCAAAACTGCCCTCACTAAACGTTCATTGAACAGTCATGCTCCCCAAGACAAGGACTAAAGAATTTTCAATTCTCGTTTTTTTTAAATATATATTTGATTGACATACAAAATAGTGTGATGATTGTGCATTCATTCTTTGGTCTGAATTTAAGTGACATCTGCCGTAATGAGATCCAAAAATATTTTTTATTTTAAAGAATAATTGAAAGCCCTTAGGTTTTCATTAACAACGTTAGAAATTAAATAAAAAATTCAATTTATTGTTCAACATGATCTCGATTCCATAATTGCTCTTCACCATTAAATAAAATACAATAGATAAGACAACCAAAAAGACAAACACTCGATGATATATTAAAAATTAATTTCCATGCTGCTAATGTTTGCTATTAAATAAAATGAAATAAATAATAAAGTTCAATTTATATAAAATCTTACATTATGATTTGTTATCCATCCAACAAATATTGGTCCAACAAAACCAGGTATTGCAGCTAACATATTTGTAATTCCCATTAATGTACCTAATGATTCGATTTATATTTCATATCATGATTATTATTTTGATTTTAAACTAACCTGCATAATTACTGGCAATATCTAAATGTGAAATAAGACTACCAGATCCTTGAAATCCAATAAATCCAACAGATAGAGAAATAAATATAACAGCTAAAACATGATTACAGCCAATAAAACCAACTAAGACAAGAAAAAATGATGTTCCAAAAGCTCCTAGAAAAAAAAAAAAGAAAACAAATATTAACTAAATAACTATTTGTAATATACCAATAATTGTTTGCCATCTTCTCGTAGCTGTTGTTGATAAAATTTTTCTAGCTCGTATTAGATCAGCTATCTGACCTGAGACTATCGTAAAAATAAGTTGAAATAAATAAGGTATAGCAAACATAATTCCATTCTAAATCACACAAAAAGAAGAATCTTTGTTTCTTTTTTTTCAAAACTTTATCATAGGAGAAAAAAAAAAAGTAACAAACTTGTTTTAAATTAAATCGAAGAATTGTTGAAAAATAAGTTGGTAATGATGTAAGTAATATATAAAAAACAAAATTTGTGCAAATATGTTGAATAGCAATACCATAAAGTGGTACACAAGTTATGATATCATACCAAGGTGTTGGAGACTAGAATAGATTAAATCAAAATTTCATGTTTTTTTTTTTACAACATTTTTACTTTTTTTTGTTTTGGTATAGATCGAAGAAGATATAATTTTTCTTCGTATGTTATATGTGGATGTTCTGATGGAGAATTGTATGCATAAAAAGCCCAACCAATAAACCATAGACATGAAAGAATACCTGAAGAAATTTGCAATTCAAAAAAACTAAATCAAGAAAAGAATTATTTACCGAAGACATAAAATGCTGATGGCCAACCACCTAAGAATGTTGATGCACACAATTGACTCACCAAGGGTGTCGTAATAATAATACCAATTTCTTTGCCTGGAATATATTTATATAAAGAGATGAGAAAAATATATTATCAAATATCATCGGAAGTTTTTATTTAACCTGTACTAGCTATTGGTGGAATTATACTTCTTTCTAATGGTGGAATCCAACGACCCCATAATGCTGTTGCACTTGGAAACGCAGGTGCCTAATAGAAGATAAATTTTCAATTTTATTTTATTTAATAGACTTACTTCAAAAGCACCAATTAATAATCGAATTGCAATAAGTAAATTAACATGTAATCGAGCAGCAAGTGGTGTTAAAAGAGTTAGAATACCAGCAATAAAAATACTTCCACCAAAAATCCATTTAGCACCAAACCGTTCGGCTAATATACCTAAAATAAAATAATTAAAACCAAAAACAAAAATATAAACTATTGAAAATCTGTTTACCTCCGATGACTTGAGTAAGGACATAACCATAAAAAAATGAACCCAATATAAAACCTTGAGTTTTAGGTGTCCAATCAAATTCTCCCTTATATTCAAATAAATAATCAAACAGCTATTGTGATTTTTTTTTTCTTACATATATATATGGCTGAAATGATGAACTATTACTATTATCCATTGAAGGACATGCTTCAACAGATTCATTTTTTGTACTTTGAGGATTTGTCATGGCCACTATAAGATAAATTATAAAATATTTTTTGAAAAAAAATACTAATACCTACCAATAGCAACAGATAAATTAACTCTCAATGAATATAAACAAACAAAACCAAGAAATGCCCAAATGGCGACAACCTAAATTAGACCACTATAACGAAAATTTACCTACAGAAAATCATTCACTGACATATCGAGCAGGAATACCGCCTAAAAATAATGATATTCATGATCAGAGAATATGATAAAACCTTACGTGCTTTTGATAATGGTTCGATTCGATAATCGTCGTCTTTATCTTCTTCATTAACAAGTAATGGTATTTGCATGCCGTCATTATTTATCAATCCATTATCTGATGAATCCATTATCTTTTCTACTCGTATTTAATACATCACATAAGATTATCTAAAACTAATCACATGGAAAAACATCGAAAGATTCTTTATTTTCTTTTATATCTATTGCATAATATAAAATAACATATGAAAATTTAATGATATAAAAATTATTAATTTATTCAAAATGAATATCAAAAGTGAATAATTACGTCGTGATACACCATTTGCTAATAAGCATTGGATCATATATAATAAAATTATGATTAAAAGTAAAAATTCAACTATGTGTAGAGAAGATTTATTTCAGAAATTCGAATTGTTTTAGAAGATTGTTTTTTGACTGATATTTTTAGTTGATGAAAAAATTTAACAAAACAATAACTGCAATCGATGCTTTGCAATTCAATGAAAAACATAGTGCCAATAGAATAGTTGACTGATTCTCACCAATTCTTTTCTTTTTTTTTTTTGAAAACAAAAAAGATAATTTTTCCTTTTGTCCTGCAAATACTCGTAGAAACTAATATGTCTTAGCTCACAAAACAAAGATAAGTTTTATTTTTGTTAGGCATAAATTTTGTTTTTATTAATGCAATGTCAATGAGACCGACGAACAGCTGAATCCATTAGTATTAAATGAGTTCTGTTGACAAGATACTCATGAACTGTCGATATGAGACAAATTATCGAAAATCGATTATCGAAACAAAAAAAAAAACAATATAAAAGTATTTTTAAGTTATTTTAGTTATGTCTACTTTTATCGATAATTATTAGTGATAGAGGGCAATAAGAAATGAACCGAGGAAACAAGATGGCCAAACCAACAAGATTAGTGATCGCATAATTGAAGTAAAAGGAGAGGAAAGAAAAAAAAAATAGTTGTTGTTTTTGTGACTAGTAAGCGGAGACGAGAAAGATGTGCCCCACTTTTTGATTACTTTTTAAAAGGACTATCGTTTTATTACTTATTGAATCATATTACTATCGCGTAAATATTTAAAAAACCAACATAGAACAATGATAAAAGTGGTCTCTTCAACATTTGTTTGAATCCATATTCACTTCATATATATATATATTAACTCGCTTTAGATAAGCAATACATAGAAGAAAATGGAAATGAGTACAACATTAACATCGGCCATATTAAATAATTCTTCACTTTTAACTACTACTCAATCAACGACAGAGCCTTTAACAACGACTGTCGTTTATAATAATCATTTATTTTTACATACAACTGCTTGTCAAACTATTGCTGGAGCATTTACTTGGGCAGCTATTTTTATAACAGGTTATCATGTAAGAAATAAAAATAAAATACTTTTTTTTTCTATTAAATAAGAAATTCTTTAGATTTATCTCCATTTACGTCATTATACTGTACCATCAGAACAAAAATGGATAATTCGTTTATTGTTCATTGTACCTATATATTCATTTGTTTCATGGCTTAGTTTAATTATGTTTAGAAATAATTCTTATTATGTTTATTTTCATGCAATTCGAGATTGTTATGAAGGTTTGTTTGTGTAATTAAGTAACAAAAAGCTTTTAATTTTATTTTAACAATATATTTAGCTTTTGTCATCTACAGCTTTCTTTCGCTTTGCTATGAGTATTTGGGTGGTGAAGGCGCAATTATGGCAGAAATTCGCGGAAAGCGTATTGAGTAAATGATCGAATTTTGAAGAATAAAGTTTGATAATTTTTTTTTTTCATAGACGAAGCTGGTGGACATGCACATGTTGTATTTCAAATCAAGAATATACAATTGGATTTTTAAGGTTTTGTAAACAAGTAAAAAAAAATTGGAAACTAAAAAATAATTTGATAATTTATTCGGGTTATTCTATAGGCAACGCTTCAATTTTGTTTAGTGAAACCTTTGATGTCTCTTGTAACACTTATTTTACAAGCATTCGATAAATATAAAGATGGAGATTTTTCACCGACCGGTGGTTATCTTTATATAACATTGATTTATAATGTATCTGTATCGGTTGCACTTTATGGTTTATTTCTATTTTATGAAGCAACTAAACATATTTTGGCTAAATATGATCCTGTATTGAAATTTCTTACTGTTAAATCGGTGATTTTTTTGACATTTTGGCAAGGTTAATTTATTTTATTTTGTTTGAAGAGAATAACGAATATGAGTTCATTTGATTTTAGGTGTTCTTTTGGCTATTTTTGAACAATGTGGTATTATTCAAGCATTTCAAGGAAAAACAAATTTAAGTGTCGGTACTGTTGCTGCTGGTAAGTAAAATTTATTTCAAAAAACGTGTTTTTTTTTTGTCTTTAAAATCAATTTTATATTTATTATAGGTTGGCAAAACTTTTTTATTTGTATTGAAATGTGTTTAGCTGCTGTGGCACTTTGTTTTGCTTTTCCACATCAACCTTATATAGTGCGTGAAAATTATTTTTCGGCATCATCATCAAATTCTGGACCAGGACCATCAAATACTGGTGGAAGAATACCAACAATGCAAAGTATTTCAAATAATCTTAGAGAAACAATGAATCCAAAAGATATTATGCATGGTAAATTAAATGATTTTGTTTATTAACGACTAGATGAAATGTTTCTTTTAGATGCAATTCATAATTTTCATCCACAATATCGAGATTATACACAATATAGTGCACAGGTAAGATTTTTCTGTCTATTTATATTCCAAACCTATGTATTTATCTATCTATCAGGATATTCAGCTGAATACAGAATTACCTTCTGTGATTTTTCAGCTTTCTCGGGTATATTTAAGCTTTCTGGTGATAGAAATTAATACTATAGAACTAACATTTTTTTACATATAATTTGTTTTTTTTTATTTCACTTTGAATTATCTATCGTATAATTTACAGACTAATGATGATCGAGCACCAACATCAACATACGGTTTAAATCAAAGTTCAACTAGTACTCTATCACCATCAAATACTTCAGTACCTATTGATACATCTTACCATGAAGGTGGAACATCAATAACATCAACAGCATTGCCTGTTCAATCGTCATCATTATCAAATTCTCAAGGCCAACATAATATTATTAATAATTTACAAAACAAATTAATACCAAAATCTTTAACAAAAAAAGATGCTGAAAAAGATATGTTATTAATTAATGATGACATCTAATCAAAATAAAAAGAATTATATTCCATCTCTTAAATATTCTAGTCGTATAAATTGATGATCTATTCTTTATTCCATTTTTTTTTAATGTTGTTTTTGTTTTCATTATTGTTGTATAATCAAAAATTATCTTTACATTCTTATACGCAACCAAAGCAAAACATATATTCCTACTTAATGGCAGATTTTGTTTCGATGTTGTTTATCCTTTTTTCTTTGTGTTGTGGCATTCAAAATTATTTTTTTGTTGTTGTTGTTATTGTGTACAAATGTATCAAAGAGTTCAACACATTAATTGTTTTATATTGTATCTATTATTAGCAAAAGAACAGTCTATATAATTAACGTTTTTTTTATTACAACAAGCACTTAACTTCAGTAGCGGATCTAGATGAAACTTATAGAAAGTGATATTTAATCCAAATGACGAGTTTTAATCAAAATTTTTTTTCGATCGAAGACAGGAAAAAGAAATTTTTTTTTTGTCTCTTCTACCGTCAATTTTGTTGGATTATGTAGTATTTCATTATTGAGAATATAGTCATATTCTATATTGAACTCTATCAACAGATTTAAGATTTCATTTGAAAATATACATGAGTTTAGGAGTTATAATGTTTCAAGTTTTTGCGATGTTTGGCGAAAATTCAAAATATTTTAACTCCTGAATGGATCTATATTTTTAGATGAAATTTTAACTCTGATAATTAAATTTGATGCAGATACCAAGCATATTTCAAAAAAGAAAAACAAAATACTATTGAAGGCCAAAAATTAAGGGTGAAACAACTAAAAAATTTTCTTTTCGCCAACTCCAATCTAAAAAGTCTATGATTACAAATTAACATATGGGTTTAATATCACACTCTATAAGTTTCATGAGTCTCATACTCTGAATCTGAGATTCAGTATACTCAAAAATCTTGGTTCTGTCACTAATTGACTGGATTTGTCGTTTCTAAGCTTGATTGAATAAACCCACATCTCAAGACAACTCATAAGATCAAAAAACAAAATGCTTGTACTCTGTTGACTAAATTCTCTTGGGACAAAGATTTGAAAGCAAAAAGAACATCTTTCTAAACATAAACTATCAAACTCTTTAGAGTATTTCTCTACTTGAATCAAATACTGATATTATTTCAGATTTATTTTTGATGTCATGAACATAGAACAAACTGTTCTTTTTCTGTATCTATTTCGAACGACCTATTTGTGTCTATTCTTTTCGTCTTACATTTCTGCTTCATATATTTTCATATTTGAATATAATCATGTGAAGTAGAACGATATGACGAAAAAACGATAAATAGTATAGATCTTTCAAAAAGAAATAGAGACAATCAAAATTCGATAATCTTTGACTGCGAGCTACTTGTGATTAGCTTTAATGATCTATAAATAATCAAGAATCAGACAAACATATTGTTCTGAAACGTTTTCACATGAAAAAATAATTTTGAGTAATTTGATTACCGAGGCTGAAGAAAATTCGGTGTAATAAATTTTAAATTTTCTATATGAATAAAACTATTGATATTTTTGATAATAAATTGTTCTTTTTAATAGAATTATTTAATTGAAAACTCTTGAAAAATAATGTGGAATTTATTCAATTTTTTACTGAGCCAATAAATAAAGAAACAATAACATTTCTCAGGCTTTCTTGTATTTATTTATCGTAAATTATATACTATTAATTTGCGGCATATTTTGAAAAAAAATTCTCCAAACTCGATGTTTATTCATTTCATTTTAATATCTTATTTTTCGTATAGTGACTTAAATTATATCGTATTAAAATAAGAATAATATGATATTTTTGTCCTTATTGATTTCTTGAACGCTGATACTTACGAGCACCGCGCATATAAATTTAATACTCGATACGGAACGACCTCTTTCATATTTATAGAGACTGCATGTTTTTTTTTAATGCAATGGCGATTTGTATGAGCTTATTACCATATTTTTCTGTATGTATGTATGTTGTACTTTATTTGACAAAAGATAAAATAAAACAGAAGATTTAGTCTGTATTTCAGATGATAAAACTCATTGTAATTAGTATCTTGTTTATTTTTATCAATGGTGAACTTGAAACAACAAGTTTTTGTACAGATCGTAATGCAACTAGTAAACCTGTGATTGATTTTTGTAAATCTCAAAATGGTTCATTAGAATTTCGATGTTGTTATCTATCGAATTCGAATAATATTTTGGCTATTGATTTAACAGAAATGAATTTAAACAAAGTACCTGATTTAAAGGAATTTACGAATTTAATAAATGTAACAATGATAGATCTTCGATTAAATCCTCAACTTAAATCTTCAGAAAAAGAAGATTTTCTTAACATGAAATATCTTGATTATCTTTTCTTACCTGAACAATATCCATGTCCTGGTGAAAATCATGTTTGGCAAGTAATTAATAAAACAATTGATCCAATAGGTATTCTTTGTATGCATCAAAAAGATTTTTGTACAAATTCAACTGATAAATGTGTTGAATCAAATTCATATTGTTCTTTAAATGGACCTAATCATTTTTTATGTTTATGTAAAAATGGTTATTATGGTTATAAATGTTTACGATATGGACAATTTCCAGTACGAATATTTTTTGGTATAGCTATAACTATTACTGTGGTTTTAAGTATTTTTTTCTATTGGACACAACGACGACATGTAAAGAAAGATTAGTGTTACGAAACTCTTCTACTGATAAACAATGAAATAGAACTGCATAGATCTGTCTTTCATATCGATAAGTAATTATTATTATGAATCTATAAAAGAATGGTATTTTTATATGGTGTGATAGGATTATTATTTTTTTTTTTTGTATTCTTGCTGTTATCATTTTTTTTCTCATGTTATTGATCTGAACAAATAAATCATATATATTACAATTACAATAGACTCATTGTATAAATTGATAATATTAAAAAAAATTTGAAGACCTGTGATGAGCTGACGTTTTAATTTAAAAAATAAGAAAATTACAAAGAAAACTTTGTCAAAATTATATAGATGAACAATTGCCAGCAGTTTGATGTTAAAGATGCTTATTATTTTGTTGTTCACTTTTAAGTTAAATAACACGATAAGGTTCTAAAGTATAGTTTTGTTTTTAGACTTATGTCATAAAAAATTGAACGGAAATAACCTTCAGAAAATATATATTTTAAATAAACATCATTTGTCAATAAATATTTACCTCGATATTTTGTTGACAAATAAACGATCATATAGATATTTTCTTTTGTTAACCATTCCAATAGACTTTCAGATAATCATTCGATAGAGCTTTTTCGCTCTTGTAAATTATTTTGTTTATTTTTATTTTAATAAATTTTCCTTAGTTGTGCAAAGTTTTTAAAATATGAATATTTACTCAAAAGTCTAATTGAAGTTTTCGATTCTCTGCAAATATCTATGCATTTGTGTAAGTTTTTGTTCATCAGAACTAATTCAAAAAGTAACGAGATTAACATCAGTAGATAGAAAATTCTTTGGTCCTCATTTCCATGACCTTTTCAAGAATCCTATTACCATCGTTCGTAAGAGAAAAGTTTGGAACTAAAGCCCAATGATATTTTTCTATGCATGTCGGAGAAAAACATATTTACCAAAGCAAGACATATTGCATGAAACAGCCATTCTCCAGCTGTCGGCTGTTGCACTTCATATTGAAGAAAATTGTATGATTGCTAAGCTGTGGAATGAAAACGATAAGGTTACATAGAATTAAAAAAAGATAAAAACGAACAATCACGTAATCTTGTGAGATGAGGATTTTCTTGACTGTTTACTTCATGATTATTCTTGCAAATATTTCTCGTAAAATTCTAAAATATTTTTCAAAAAATGGAGAATTCTTTAGAGCATTATTGACTTTTTAGCAAACTGTTGTTAGAAAAGATTTTCATTTTTTTTGGCTATCGCAATTCCATGATTATGTAAATGTTAATATTTTGAATTTTGCTACAATAAGAAAAATTTGCTTAAAAAACAAACGAAATAGTCCTGTCAAGCAAAAAATCTTCTATCAAATGATTACAGAATAGCATTCTCAAGAAAATGGTTTGGCCTTGTCTAATCTACACTCCCCTGTTACTATGTTGATTAATAATAATATATGAATCACAAACTATAGGATTCTATTAAATAAACTAAGTAAAGTGAAATTGAATGAACTTTCGACAACGATAAATTCAGATCAAAGAAGACTCTGGTATAGTCATTATTATTGGGTGATTGATATATCTTCACTGCTTAGCTACATTGATACTATGATAAAAGGTTATTGTAAACACAAACAGACATGCGAAAAATTTTCTTCTTTCTGATGTTGAATGTTTATCTACCATGTGCGATCATTTACATATAGATTATATAACTATGACGCAGTGATATTCTTAAACCTATGTCTGAATCAATTTCTACTAATAAAAAAAGTGATAAAAGTATTTCTTCAATAATGAAAGCTGCTCAGCAAAATGGTTATGGAGAAGTACGTCATGTTTTAACACTTCGTCATGATCTACTTGTACCACTTGAATTATCATCAAAACAAATTCTTGTTCAAGTACATGCTGCATCAATCAATCCAATTGATTGAAAAGTACTATATGGAAATTTTTCATTTCTTTCACAATTATCATTTCCTCATATACCCGGTAAAGATCTTGCAGGCGTTATTGTAGACAGGGGTTCAGAAGTAAAACGTTTTCAAATTGGTGATCAAGTTTTTGGAAATCTTGGCATGAATGATGATAGTTTTGCTGAATATGTTCGTGAAGATGAATCATTATTTGCCTTGAAACCAAATAATATAACAATGGAAGAAGCAGCAGTTATACCATTAGCATGTGAAACAAATTATCAAGCTTTATTCAAAAAAGTTTCATCGCCTATTGGAAACAAAAGTAAAATATTAATTTGTGGTGGAAGTACAGTAACAGGTTTATATGCAATTCAGTTAGCCAAAGCAGTTGGAGCTCATGTCACAGCAACATGTTCAAAAAGAAATTTTAGTCTGATGGAAAAACTTGGTTTGTTTTCTTCGACCTTGTATATAAATGTCCTTTTTATTTATCATAGGTTATAATATAACACAAACAAATATTAAGACAAATAACAATCAAAACCAATTACATATAATTGATTATAATAAAAAAGATTTTGGACAAGAACTGAAGGATAGACTTGTGTTTCTTTTATGATTATTATTAGTTTTTCGTTTCTGTTTATTTGTATTTAGGTCAAAATTATGATGTTGTTTATGATTGCGTTGGTGGTGAACAACAATGGACATCAGCACAACAAGTATTAAAACGTAGTGGTCAATTTATTACTATTGTGGGTGATGATAGAGAATTGGTTATTTCATTAAAATCATTAGTTTCATTTAGTTCTGGTTTGATAAATCGAAAATTTTGGTCTATCTTTGGCTCATCTCATCATAATTATATATTTCATTTTGTAAATCATACTTTTCAAGAACTTGATGATATCAGAACAAAATATATTGAAACAGGAAAAGTTAAATCAGTAATTGATACAATTTTCGATTGGCAAAAAGATGATGTAGAAACTTTATATTCACTCTATGAAAAATCAAAAAGTGGAAAAGCACAAGGAAAATTAATTTTTAAAATAGCTGATGATGAATAAATATAAACCTATTTTATTTATTTCAAAGTTTTTCATAAACTGATTTTTGTTAAAACTATTTTTACATTGAATAAATATATCTTGTTGAAATATTAGGTTTCTATTTCAGAAATAATATTTTATGATCAGATATAGCAAGACGTAAAAAGTTAGGTAAATAGATGATTACGAAATTTACGAGTACTCTATCATAGATGAGTTTAGTGACATTTCTGTAAATATCACTGAGTTCGATATGTTAAAATTTCTCTTTCAATAGAGAAGGATTAGAACTGTTGCAAATTTTTAATTCTATATAAGAGATCATCAAAAATAACTCGTATATTTTCTTAAGTAAGACAAATTGTTTTTGGAATAGTAAATTATTAAGAAAAAGGCAACCTAATGAAAACAATATTGTTTATTATCGAATTCAACATCACGATGAGTTTAATGTATACGATGGTCGATCCTTGACATTATGTATATGTCAATCATTGGTTCTATCTTTGTGTTTATAAAATAATCTTATCATAGGATTAAACTTGTATGATGCGAATTAAATCACATAGTTAGTGACTCTAAAAATAGTTGTAATCGTTTTTCTTCTGCATCGAATATTCTTTTCTTCATTTATACAGTCTTCTACTTGAATAAACATTCATTGACAGATACTACGCTTGCAAACCGGTAATAATAAGGCACATATATATTGTATAATGGTTCTCTTCCTGACTTAAAAAAATCCCTATGAAAAAAAATCGTTTTTTTTTTCTTTATAAATCGTTTTAGTATACATATATGATCTTAAACTTACTAATTGTAATTTAAAAAAAAAAATCTTTCGTCTACAAATGCATGAAATTTAAAAGTCATTAAAAAAAGCTGTTAGAAATGTTTTCTTTCGATTAATAGTTATTATTTCTTCCATCTACAATTAATTACGGCACAGAAGATTCGGAAAAGTTCTGATAGTTTTTTTTCTTTCTTTTTGTTAAATTCGAGTTATCCAAACCAGATGCAAACGCCATTAGCATATCAATTATTTTTATCTCAAAATAAATCATGAAAAAAGTATTGATTAAAACGATACTTATAAAAATTAATGGGCGAAAAATATTCCTATCCATTATCAGTAATAATATGGGTCGATGCTTTATAAAAAACAGAAAAACATATAATCTTTTGTATTTAGCAAACAATGGAGAAAAAGAAAGCAATAGACTGACTGACTAGATGATTTATTTGAATAAGAAATCTTTCTTTTTCATATATAAGAAACAAATAAAATGAAGTGATCAAAATAAGAAAATGTACGAGACATACTCTAAGTAAAAGAACAATAAAAAATACTGGCACATTCTTAGGCATGATTCAATTTGTGAGCTTAAAGCTTTCTTGCTTGTTCTATAGTATATAAGAGCACGAAGAAAAAGAAAAAGAAAAAGAAATGAATCTATCAGAAGAATAAGAAGAAAAAAAGGGAGAAAAGAAAAAGAAGAAAAAAAACGTGACATGGCAGCGCGCCGAACAGAAAAACATACATTTAATAGGAAAGCTGGTAGTAGTGTAACATACACTCAAGACATTATTAAAATATTATAATAAAGAAACACACGAATTGAAAACAGTTAAAATTATAAAATCGAATGTTTCACGCCGGTCTTGAAGCACTTTTTGGCCGCAATCGTGATCATCACAAAAAGCGACATTTATTTCGTCTTCGTCGTCATCGTAATAATCGTAAAGAAGAAGCAGATGAATTAGCAAAACTTTTTTCTGATAAACCCCATACAGAAAAAGAATTGATCAGTGATTCAAATTTTGGTTTTGCTGCAATGCAAGGTTGGCGTTCAACAATGGAAGATAAATATAAACATTTAATTCCATTTGATGATGCTTCATGGAAATTATGGTCATATTTTTCGATTTTCGATGGTCATAATGGTAAGAAAAGATATTATTCGAAGGCAAATATAATTTATTCATTATTAATTAAGGTATTGAAACAGCAAAAAATGCTGCTGATCATCTTGAAATTCATTTATTAGAAATACTTAATAAAATGCTTGTTCAACAAAAAGATGATAAAATAAATTCTGGTGAACCTGTTCGTTCATCTCAATTAGATATTCCAACATTATGTGCTGCTATTAAACAGGCTTATTTTGAATTAGATAAACATTTAAAAAGTATGGTTAAAGATGATAGTGGTTGTGTTTGTGTAAGTTTTAGTGTTTTTTTTTCTTCAAAACAAAAATTTTTTTCGTTTGATTTTATTTAAAATATTTAGATAACATGTCTTATTGGTCCCGAACAAATTTATTTAATCAATGTTGGTGATTCTCGTGCTATAATTTTTTCAAATGATGGACATATTTTAGCACATACTGAAGGTAATTCTTTTATTCAATTCTTTTTGTCATCGTGTATTTTCTTTTGTTTATTGAATATATATTTAGATCATAAACCAGATGATCCTGCTGAACAAGATCGTATTCATGAAGCTGGAGGAAAAATTTCTAAATCATTTGCTGGTGATGTTTTACGTGTAGAAAATCAATTAGCCATGACACGTGTATTAGGAGATTTTGGAATGGATAAACATATTGTTCCACCTATGGCAGATATTGTTGACTATCCCCGAGATTCATCGGCAGCATATCTTGTTCTTGCATGTGATGGAATTTGGGATGTGATGACAAATGAAGATGTAGCTTCGTTTATTATTGATCGTGTAGCAACAACAAAGTTAGAAAATATTGCAGCACAATTATTAGATGAATGCCTTCGTCGAGATAGTACTGACAATATGAGTATTTATATTGTAAAACTTTGAATTACTATTGTATATAAAAATAAGAATAAAACGAATTATTTTGTCATGTAATAAGTGTTTTAAATAATAGTACAAGTAATAATCTCTATTATATGTTACATGATAACTTTTCTATTTGTCTCACATTTATACAAATGAGTGTAAGTAATGAATAAAAGATGAATTATTTTTTAATATGATTATATTTGTCATTTGTCGCATTTGTTCTCAAGATAATTGAATTAATGCTTTAGATTCTTTTTTGAAAGTAGCTAATTTGAAAGATTTGTGAAGAAGAAAAAAGAAAGAATCTCGCCATATTTTTACTTTGTCACTTGTTATGACATCGTATTTTAAGGTGAAATAAGGCGTGCATATCTTCTTTTTTTTTTGTTGTTGTGTTGAATTCAACAACGCTATCTTTTATTGTCGTTCTTTCTTGTTTGCTTGTGTGTTAAATATTACTGTCACAATTAAATTCATACCATGCGTTTAGAGCAAAATCCACGTAGAAGTACTTCGGCTCTATTGTATGACGACAATGAAAAGATACTGGATGCAATGACAGATCAACAACCACTATTAGGTTATACAGATATTGATGATGTTGGCATGCGTCAAACATGGTACCGTCGAATGTATGCGAGATATGGTTTGTTTAGATATATCTATTAATGAAATATTGGAAAACATGTTGTATAATTTCTAGTTGTGGCTATATGGGTCTTTTTAGGTTTTATTTGTTTATATATGCTTCGTGTTAATTTATCAGTAGCTATTGTTGCTATGACTGTGCCACAAAGTCTTAAAAATGAATCTGTAGAAGCATGTCCATCGAATACAAATGATTCAAGTGATAATCCAACTAAGGTTCGTTAACAAATATTTTCTTTTATTCGTATGATGATATTTGAAGATTCATGTTTTATTTATAGCATGATAAATTTGATTGGAATCCTCGTACTCAAGGTTTTGTACTTGGAGCTTTTTTCTATGGTTATACTCTTTCACAATTTATTGGCGGTAAAGATAGAATAGAATATGAATGAAATCATGTTCATTATTTCTTTCAATATATATATATATATAGGAATATTGGCTGAACGATATGGTGCTAAATGGATTTTTGGTTGTTCTCTTTTAATAGCCGGTATTCTTACTCTATTTACACCGATTGCAGCTCAAACTCATGTTGGTCTTCTCATTGCTATTCGAATTCTCACTGGTATTTTCGAAGTAGAAAAATCTGTATTTCATATCAAGAAATGCATATTTAATGTATATATATATATATAGGGTCCGGCATTTCCAAGTGTAGGTGCATTATGGGGACAATGGGTACCACCTTTAGAAAGAAGCATTATTCCACCGATTGCACATGCTGGTATGCGTCGTTTGAATAAAATATTCAATACATTTTTGTACTTTTTACTTTTTTTCACAGGAAAAGAAGTAGGTGTCATAATTACAACTCCATTAGCAGGTCTTCTATGTGCATCGAATTTTCTGGGTGGTTGGCCATCAGCGTTTTACGTTTTTGGTAAGATTAGTAACACTTTATTTATCTATCATAAACTGTATTTTTCATTTGTGCAGGTTTTATTACTTGTATATGGTTTGTATTCTGGTGTTTTTTTTCTTATAATAGCCCCTTCGAACATCCACGATGTTCAAAAGAAGAACAAAGGTATTTGACGATCGCTCTTCCAAAACCAAAAAAGGTTTGTTTTTGTTTTAGTTAACATTTTTTTTCTTTATCGTTTCATAGATTTTTTAGTTAAAAACACCATGGCGATCAATAGCATGTTCACTTCCATTTTGGTCAATTGCTATTGTGTCCAGTTGTATTCAATTTGTTTATTATGTTTTATTAACATCCTTACCTACTTATTTTGCTACGATATTAAAATTTAATTTACAAAAAGTATTTTTTTTCTTCTTTGAAAAGATAAATCTAAAATAATATTTTATTCATAGAATGGTTTAATGTTTGCCATTCCTTATGTATTCATGATGATTGTTATTGTTATAAGTGGTCAACTGGCTGATCGTGTTCGAGATCGAAAAATTCTATCAACAACAGTTGTCAGAAAAATACAAACAGTTATTGGTAATGTCATTTTGTTTTTATTTTGAATAAAACTTCTATATTAGTCTTTTTTTTATTGAGAATAGGTGGTGTTGGTTCGTCTTTATTTTTAGTACTTGTCGGTTATGTTGGTTGTAGTAAAGTGGCAGCTATGTTTTGTATTACATTAGCTGTTTCTTTTATTGGTTTTCATTCGAGTGGTTGTCAAATATCACATCTTGATATTGCAAGCAATTATGCTGGTTTGCTCATAGGAATAGGTTCATCTATTTCATTCTTTTCTCTTGCATTTGTATAGGCACTCTTGTTGGTATTACAAACACATTAGCCGCAATACCAGGAATAATTGCTCCGTATGTTGTCGGTGCAATTACAAATAATAATGTAACTAGAACATTTTAAATTATATGCTAATCTGTTTCCGTTTCGTTTTATTTAAATAGCAAACATTACATGCTTGGCAATTAATTTTTAATTTATCAGCTGGAGTAGGTCTTTTTGGTTGTATCGTATATTGTATATTTTTTGATGGTAATGAACAATCATGGAATCAAAGTGGTTTGCACGAAGTTCCACCAAATCCAGTAGCAGAATAATTTATATCTTTAAAAAAATTTCATAAAGATTTTTTTTTGAAGTTAATTAAATAATTTTTATTCTATTACATGGGTTTGTTTATCATTCATATTAATCAGTGATTATAATAAAATTGTTAGAAAAATAAATAAAATTCACATTTATAGATTTAATATGTAGATCATGTGAGAGTTGTGCAACTTAGAAGAAATGAAAAAACGAGCTTCAAGATCGAGTTTACAATAATTATCTATCATTATGAATAAAGTTAAAATATTTTTGCTGATATACTACGATTTATTTTAGTTGTTCATAACTTTCTAATTGAATGTTCCTAAAACTCTCATTGATGATTATTCTACGTATGTGCTGAAAAAAAGATTTTTATTTAATAATTATTAAATTCGATATTTCACTTTTTATTAAAGTATATTAATCTCTCCAGCACCGGTGTCATATAATCAATGAGATATAGAATACTGATAAGGTAAAATATAAAACGATTTAATTAAAACTGTAGTTTTCCGGTGCATTATATGTCGTATTCCATGATAACTGAATACCATCCAACGAAATTGGTATCGCTGATGACATATAACCAGTTGGTTTTCCAAGTTTTTTTAATCGTTTTTGTCGTAATAATTTCGCTGTTGAAAGTGGTGGTAATCGACTATTATTATTTGTTTTTGCTGGAGTTTTAATTGATAAAACACTGTCTTTGAATAATGCACGATCCAAACTCGTGAAATCCTAATTAAAAAAAAAAAAAACAACAATAAATAATTCAATTCTTAAATAAAATGAATCATCAAATCAAAGTGCATATGATAAATTCGAAAAACACATTATGTGAATAGCAAACCAAGTGTAAAATTTCACATAATTAACCTCAAAACGCGTTGCAACATTTTGAAAACGAGAACCGTTCGTTTGATTAGTACCAGAACGAATACTGGGCAACTGTAATTGTTTTTATTTTGATTTTTACTAATAAATAATTAAATTAAAAAAAAACTTTCAAAATAAACTATACCTTAGTTTTTGTTGACATACTCTTTGCTGTTATAACTATAAAAAAAATATATATTTGTTTTTTTTTTTTCTTGTGATGATTTCTTTTTTGCTAATTTCCTACTTGTTCTTTCTGTTGGACTCGTTGGATTGGGCGTTGGAAGACATTCTTGTCGATGAAAAGCGTTCCATCCATTTATTTTACATGCTTTTGAACAAAATGATGCTTTTTGACAACGTTTACAAAGAGTAAGTCGTACACCAGTACTTCGACCACAAGTAGCACAATAACGAAAATGACCAGTTATTCTAATACTTCAAATTTTATATTTATATCGTAGAGCTAAATTTGAATGAATTTTACTTTGAATTATCATCAGGCGTTTTTTCTGTTACAAATGAATGAGCGCGTGATACTGAATTTTGTGCAAATAGATTAGCCGGACTTGGTGTTTGATTATGACCATCTAGAAATCCAAAAAAAGAAAATATTTAACGAGATATAAATTTTTTTTCGAAGTTTCAAACATACCTAATGTTGGTGTTGGTAAACGTAGAAATTCTTCATGTTTTGGAACTTCTTCTCGAAATCGTTTAGCTATATGAGCAAGTAATTCTTTTCTTTCACTGTATATAACACGTTCTTGATTTGTTAATGAATGATATGGAGTTTGAGATATTCGTGTATCCTATTATTTGAATATTTACTATCTTAGAATTAATAAATAAAACTTACAGCTGAAAACATAAAATGAGCAAAATCAACTGATGAACCTAACGTATTTTTTGGACCAAATCGAATTGGATAAAGAACTTTGGGATTTTTTTCTATCAGACGTTCAATCTATAACAAAAAAAAAAAAAAGAAAGTTTAATTCAATCAAAGATATGATTTGATTTTCTTTTTTTTTACTAATTGTAATCGTTTTGCATAAGTCCAACCAGGTTCATGAAATGTTGACAATATAGTACATAATGCATTTCCATTTCCTAAACCAAGTACTGTTGATGGATCAGTACTTTCATGATCAAGAAGTAAATCAACTAAAGGTTGATTGCCTAAAGCAATAGCGAGTGAAAGTGGTGTTTGACCATTACAAACAGCATTTGGATTAGCTTGATATTCAAGAAGAAGTCGAACAAGATTTAATGTATCTGATGTTGGTTCTCGTGTACATGCTATATGTAAAGGTGTCCGACCACATTGTTGAATATCAATCTAAATTTGAAAATTGTATTTTAGATAAAACAACAAATCAAAAATTATTTACTCGTTTATTCGAATTAATAATAAGTGGATCAACAAGTGAGAAATATTCTTTATTACCCGATATTGATTCAGCATTAACATGAGCACCATGTTCTAATAATAGTCGAACAATGTCAATTGTATTTTCTGACAAAGAACCACAAGCGATATGTAATGGAGTTAAGCCAGCATGACGAATAGCATCTAATTGACAATTAACTTGAACTTTTTTCTTTAATAATAATTCAACCATATGTTTATCTCCAGCTCGAATAGCTAATGCAAGTACAGGTAAAGGCCAATCACTTTGTGATGGATCAGCACCACGACGAAGAAGAAGTCTTACAAGCGAAAAAGAAATTATTACATAAATAAATTGAATATTAATGAAGACATACTTAATAAGAGAATAAATAGATTCACGAAATTTTTCATTACGAATACGATCACGAAGATTATCTGTTAGTTCATATCCATATGAATCTATTCAAATTCAATATAAATTCTAAAATGAAAACAAATATTCAAATAATGTTTTTGTTACTTTTTTTGTCTGAATCATTTATTTTCATTGATTCGAATGATGATATGAATTTTCCATCATCCATGATATTTGAATTATTTGTAAAATTACTCGAAGAATTTGCTATATTTTGTTTTGATAATTTCATTGTATTTGTTTCTGTTACATTTGATGTTCGAGGATTTACAATAATAGGATCTGTATGTTCTAAAGCTGTATTAATTGTTTGTTGAGGATCATTACCATAATAAAGAAGAAAAGCAAGAGCAAGTGGTGTTAATCCATCATCTGATAATTGATTAACATTGGCACCAAAATCAAGAAGAACATTAACAACACTTATGTGTGCATTATATGTAGCAAAATGTAAAGAAGTTAAACCATGAGAATCACATACATCAACATATGCAAGTCGTTGCATTAGAAGATTACGTACATCTTTTTCCTGACCATTAAATGATAATTCAAATAGATTTAATGATGCATTTTCTAATGGACCAGGATTAGGAAAGGAAGAGCGTTTATCTAAAGAAAAATAAAAATAAAAAACAGCCAAATAGTAAATTTTACGTATGTATATCATTTACTAGAAAAAATATCATCAATAGGAAATGATGCTCGTTGTTTAAATGGCCAAAATTTATTAGCATAATAATACAATTGTCGTTGTTCAAATGTTTCATTAGGTGGTAATACATCTGGGGTTCGTTCTTTGAAAACTTTTTCTTTTAATATTTGTTCATCATTTTTTTCATAAATACTTGATAAATAAGCATCTAATTGTTCACGTTTATCTTGCATTGCTTCTTGTACTCGTTCAGCATGTTCAATAATATATCGAGTCAACAATGAATTTTCATCTTGAATATTGTTACAGAAAAGTGTTGGAGATTTCTTTTTTAATATAAAATCAAGATCAGATACAGTTGAAAGTAATTCTTGTGGTGAATACCATGATGGAATCATAGGTGAAGATGAACGAAGAGATTTTTTATCTGTTATATGTATATCTAATGTGAGTTTTGGATGAGAATAAAGTAGACGAATAAGATCTTCATTTAACCATAAACCAACATCAGCACATTTTAAAGATTCATAAATTAATATACCTGGACCAAATCGTTCATCATGACAATATAAACCCTAGCACAAAAAAAAATCATTTATCAATTGTTTACTCTTGATAATTAAACCAGACTTTAAATTCTGAAATATTTGAATTCTGAAAAATTCCAAAACCATGCCGTCTATCAGCAAAAAAGGCACCTGTATACATTCGTCCGTCAGCCCAAGATAAAACACCTTTGCCATGTTTTTTATCTCCATAAATATCACCTATATATTTCTGTAAATCAATTAAATCAATATTGATTTCATTTTTTTTTATTTAATAAAACGTACACATTCATCTTTTGTTGTTGAACTTGGTGTTCCTTGTCTAGTACTATTGATTGCTGATGCTGTATCTCGAACCACATCATTAGATATAGAATTAAGCTCATTTTGATTATTATTATTAGCATCCATATGATTATCACTCGTCTTATCAGAGTCTGAGAGTGGACTAATATTTGCTGAAGTTATAAAAAGAAGGTTAACACTTGAAAAGATAATGTTTCATTTTCTTTACCGTTTTCTTTGATTTCAGATGATGTATTTTGAATAGTATCGTCTCTGATTGTCTCTGTCATTTGTTCTTGAGTTCTGCTATTCGTCGGCATACCTGTGGCTATTACCATTTTTTTATTTTTGTCAATCGCTGTTGAAAACGATACTAAACTAAAATGAACAGTCGATTGATTATAAAGTTTTCAAGTTAATAAAAAAAAAATTCCACTTCACATAAGTGAGTGAGTCATGGAAATAAAAAAAAATACACCAGCCATTTATAACTTACAATGCCTAGGAAATGCTATGCTTCGACATCATTTTATTTTTAAACAATCATCAACAGATGCCGCAAATCTATCGATAATATTGGTCTTGTAAGCAGATATGTATTAAATAAATAAATGACGTTTTTCTATATTATTGAATCAGCCGAATTATTTTTAAATAAAAATGAAAAAAGTGTCTCTCTAAATATCTAAATTTACATAGTCAACAGTTCTGCTTGCATATATTGCCTATGAAAAAAAAAAATTTACAAAAACAGTGTTTCAATACCAAACTTTTTCTTTTGTTAAAAACGCCATTTTATAATTAAATGCATCGTCTTTTATTTTAACGTGTTTTTT